CACTCTTGGCGGGGCATTTGAAATTACTCTGAAATTTCTGAATATTACATATATATATATATATATATATATATATATATATATATATATATATATATATATATATATATATATATATATATATATATATATACAGTGAGTTCTGCTATAACGCGTGTTTTGATAACGCGAATTTGCTCTAACGCGATTTATGAATTAGGAACGATATTTGTATAACGCGAACGCTTGTTTGCTATAACGCGATTTTTGCTTACTATTTCTCCAATTTTGTGGTACAGTGGGGTATGCTATAACGAATCTAATTGGTTCTAGAACCTTGTTTGTTATAGCATTCGTTCGTTATAGGATTAATCCGTTCCAGGCCCCCAAATACAACCACTTAACACTGAAAAATATAATATAAAATTGTAAAAATTGTAAAAAAGTGCATAAATATGTATCTAAACCCCTGAAATAAAGAATATCATTAATATTTGTAATAACAAAACAATAAATTAGAAAAAAACAAAAAAAAAATTAAATAATGTTCGTTGTAGGAGTTTCGTTCGTTATAGCATACCCCACTGTATTAACTGTGAATATAGTACTGTAAAGAATATCAACGAGAAGCGTTCTGGTGATAGAATTCCCGGTGATGATCGTAAAAGAAAGGATATAACACTTGAAGAGAAGCTCGATTTTATCAACCTCAAAATCACCCTTCTCCCCCATCAACTAAAGTGTTACATTTACTGTATGATTTCATTATTAGATATGAATGTAACATTTATTTAGACTGTGCTATCCTTTGTATTAGGCTAACTACTAAATTTTTTCGATTTCGAGTAATCTGCACCTAACCCTATTTTCTCCATAAGCCCTGTTATTTCTATTACGCGATTTTCTATAACACGATATTTTACATGAACACAATTATCGCGTTATAGGAGAACTACCTATATATATATATATATATATATATATATATATATATATATATATATATATATATATATATATATATATATATATATATATATATATATATATATTGATAAAATCACAGGGGAAGGGAAACAACGGAGCACCTTAGCTTTCGTCTTTATTCAAGACATCTTCAGTTGCCTCTGAAGATGTCTTGAATAACGACGAAAGCTAAGGTGCTCCGTTGTTTCCCTTTTCCTGTGTGATTTTATCAAGATTTATCTTATCCACGTTTTCATTGTGGATCTACATGATATATATATATATATATATATATATATATATATATATATATATATATATATATATATATTTCATGTAACCACATGGAAGTGCTTTATTGTATTCCATGTAGCCAATGTAATTGTAATTATGTAGTCAGACAGGAAAAACACTGCAGCTCAGAATCAAACAACATAAGTATAATATCAGAACTGCATCTGAAAGCAGTGCCTTGTTCGTTCATGTTAGAATAATAATCACCCCATTGCTTGGGAAAAAAGCTTAGAAGTATTCAAATCATCTTGTGTCACAGAAAGACTTCTGGTTGAAGCTAGTTTGATTAAGGAATTAAAATCAATAAACCTTAGTGATGGTCAGTTCAAAACTGATAATATGTTACATAAATTTATTTGTCAGTGGCCCAAGGTTAAAACTGCTTTGAAAACCTTTGATCTTGATGTATGACAGTTATTTTGTGGGTCCCTTTTTTCTGACCTGACCTGTCTAGTCACGTCACCACCCTTCTCTTAAGCTCCTCTACGGTTGTGTTGGTGTGGGGATTAGTGGATGCCATCATTATGACCTGACCTCATGTTTTTAGGTCACCCTGTATATTTAAGCCTCTCTCTGTCCATGTAATCTAGTTGCCTCTGAAGATGTCTTGAATAAAGACGAAAGCTAAGGTACTCCGTTGTTTCCATTTTCCCGTGTGATTTTATCAAGATATATATATATATATATATATATATATATATATATATATATATATATATATATATATATATATATATATATATATATATATATATATATATATATATATATATATATATATATATATATACACACAGTAGTACCCCGATTTAACGCGGTCAATTGAACCCATGGGGTACCGCGGAAAGTGAACAACAGAACATATGGGATTAATTCCAATAGAGACTGGCCTGACCCCCAAACTCCACTTTTTCCGACACAATACCTATGTTGTAGTAAAAATAACATCTTAATTTTATGATGGTATGCACACACAATTAATATTTAAGAGAAATACAGTAGCCAGGTTAATGTCCATTCAAATAATGGACTCAATCCCCTCTTCCCAGCTCACTAGCTCCTACCTCTCTGATTAATGTTTGGGTGAAAACACTAGATTTTCATGTTTAGTAATAAATAATACCTCAGACTAAAGTTAGGATAATATAATTGACATTTCTGGATTCCTTGCAGGTCAGGGACTATTTTGAATATAAACTTCATATATTTTGCACAAAAGATAAAATATTTGCTTTGTGTAAACCAAATTATTACATTAGATCTAAAATTTGTATGTCTAATACAAAATCCATGATGTTTATATTCAAAATAATCATCATTTTGTAAGAATTCCAGCAATGTAAATTATATTCTGGCCGGGTAATTTGTATGAATTTTATGAGCTAAAACAAATATCTTATAAACAAAGAAATATTCTTCAAGGACACTATCTGTCAATCAAAATACCCCACCTCAGCCCTAGCTGGGTCGGTCCCTCCCTCCCTACCCCCCACCTTCCCTCCCTACCAGAGAAATGTTTGGGGGAAATAGTATATTTACAATTTTAGTCCTGTAATAAATAATAACTCAAGACTAAAGTTAGGATAATATAATTGACATTTCTGGATTCCTTGCAGGTCATGGAATATTTTGAATGTAAACTTCATATATTTTGCACAAAAGATAAAATATTTGATTTGTGTAAACCAAATTATTACATTAGATCTAAAATTTGTATGTCTAATACAAAATCCATGATGTTTATATTCAAAATGATAATCATATTGTAATAATTCCAGCAATGTAAATTATATTCTGACTGAGTAATTTGTATGAATTTTATGAGGTAAATAAAAAAAATAAATAAAATTATACTTCACAGTGTATATGAGTAGATGCACTGCGAAAAGTGAGAGTCCGGTTCTGGCAAGGTACTGCGTAAATGAGAAATCTCGCGGAAAGTGAAACCGAAACCCGAAACATAAATAAATATGTATAATAATAATAATAATTAACGGTTTATTGAAAAAATTCTGCAGCCCGAAGGCTGAAAATATACATTGGACATAAATGACTTATTACATACATTGGTGGTTTAACAAAAGCCTTCATTAGAGAAAGGTAATGGAACATACAGTGAACATACAGATTAATGTAGGTGTTGAACAGCAAACTCATAGTGTAGTAACTCCCTCCCAGATGGTGTTAGGAGGAACTCACGTGGTGTAGTAGTTCCCTCAGATGTTGTTATGAGGGACCTGGCGTGGTGTAGTAATTCCCTCGCAGATGATGTTATGAGGGGCCTCACGTGGTGTAGTAATTCCCTCACAAATGGTGTTATGAGGGACCTCACGTGGTGTAGTAATTACCTCACAGATGGTGTTATGAGGGACCTCACATGGTGTAGTAATTACCTCACAGATGGTGTTATGAAGGGCCTCACGTGGTGTAGTAACTCCCTCACAGATGGTGTTATGAGGGGCATCACGTGGTGTAGTAATTCCCTCACATATGGTGTTATGAGGGACATGTGGTGTAGTAATTCCCTCACAGATGGTGTTACATGAGTGAGGTTTGGTCCCAGGCCTTCCTATCGTAGACGGATTAACACATCGGTGGTTGTTGTTGGGTCTCGCGGGGGCCGTTATCACTGGGTACCTGGGACCTCACTGTGTGAAGGTTAACTTGGGTACGACTGTTACTGTTGAGTTGTTCTCACTGACTTAAGCACTGTTCACCACTGTTCACCTCTGTTTAACACTGGTTCCGTTCCTTTCCTAAATGAAATTGTAACTTCTGGCGAGAACTTGTTGATATTCCGGTGGGGAGGAGGGTTCAGGGGAGGGGGTTGGTATGGGCCAACTAAACAGTTGACCTGGCTGCTCCGAGAGGAGCGCCAGGTACGTCTTGACCCTTCGGTGGTCAAGGATGTATGTATATATGTATGTATGTATATATATATATATCACAGGTCAAAGAAGGGTTCCATTTGGGAAAATCTTTCCACAGCTTAATATTCTGTAAAGCAAAACCACTTTTCCCATATACTGTGCAGTACTTCATTATAAAAGTTGAGATGCGTTTTTAAGGAAATATTTTGAGGCCCAAAAACGTGACACAAGCACATATACAAATTATATGATTTTAACCACAAACAATGAGTCATTAATGTTGTAACAACATAATAAATGAGCAAATCACTCAAATTTTACTTACCAAAAATGACGTTGAGTCCTGCAGGAATATATCAAGTTTAATTTCCAATGCAATTCCTTTATTGAATCTTTTATCACCACTGCTTTCACTTCAACTTGGTCTTTTTCCACCAATCATGAATAAGGGTACACAGTAACACAGCTGCATAAATGAACACAATCTGGGGAAAGAATTCTAACCGAGCAACTCCATTGTTGAGGTGAATGCTGGCAACTGGGGAGGTGAGCAGCCTTCCAACTGCCTTGTGGACACTACATGTGCATCCAAACGAAATATTTTTATGGTTTTTGTATAAATTTTTATTAAAAATCACAATTTGTTTAATTTTTTAAAAATTTCAAAACTCCCTAAGGTCAAAAAAAAATTTCATAACTTGAAATTATGTTCTGAATTTCATAATTCCATAAGGATGAAATTCCATAACCCATGGGATGCCACATGCCAAGAAAATTTTCTCGCGTGCCACCTTGGGCACCTGTGTCATAGGTTTGCCAGCCCTGCACTATGGCCTTTCTACCCTGTTAGTCACACTGACTAAGATTACAGTTGACGAATGAAACCAGCAGTAATTTAAAGATTTCATTTACTAAGAGCACCATGGTAAATAATGATACAGTATGAAACAACAGCCAATATCAGCTTCAATGTACTGTTGATGAGACAATGAATCTATAAAAAATTGTATAAATTAGAGCATGAATCCATTTACATCATTATGATTTGAATCAACAGAGACCTGAATATTAAATACAAGACTAAGAAATAATTCTACATAGGAAAAAGAATATCTGCCTTTGCACTTCTAATGCATAACACAAACAATGACAGACTCCTTTTCGTCATTCATATACACACATGTACACAATCTAACATTGGTATCACTCTGATTGGACTTTGCTGAAACTCGCTATAAACAGGTTAACATCTTCAACACATACCTGATCAAGCTAACCTTTGCCCACTTGACTGAAAGAACAGACCTACAGCTTTTCCGGCCCAAATGAACAGTTTTTCAGTTGGTGGTGACGTACGAAGGCCAATAAATGACGTTTTGCAATCTGAATGTAAAACATGAACCGAGAAATATAGCAACAAATGACAAAGACAAATACTTAGAGTTCGTGCATTCATTGTGTTGAGTGTCCGAGTGAATGCTTGAACTCAAAGTATATGTCTCCTGCGTCTTATGTTATATTTCTCATTTCATGCTTTACAACTGTCAATTCAAAATGCAAAGTGTCATATATTGGCCTTTGTACATCACTATCAAGTGAAAACCCGTCCATTCTGGCCAAAACATGCCGCATATCAGATTTTTTAAAACACTTGTACATCCTCCTCGATAGAGACTTGCAATTCTTTATACGAGTGATTTCTAGTGTACTACTATCATTAAAACATATGTGAGTTCCATGCAAAATATTTTTTTTTTTTTACTTATCAGAGATGATATATACAAATGCACAAGTTAAAGCTAGAAATCATAGTAAAAAGATTATGTTTAGTATTCATCACAACAAAAGTATACTGCTCTGTTTCTTATTGCTCTCCTGAAGAAGCTTGCTGAAAAATACAGTATATGAAAATTTGAGAGCATATTGTATACCAACAATGAAATTAGTCTGACAAATGTAAGCATCGATCAATAAAACAATTCAGCAGCTTTTACTGGTTGAGTTAAGAGTATAAAAGTAACAAGATTGTCTACTGTACAGTGATCATATTTCCTCACTAGCCCTTAGAAGCCAGCTGAGAAATGCAGCAACATCAAGAGAGTGGATCTTGAGCCACATTAACAGACCAAGCACAGGTGGTTCATCCTTAGCATAATGAGCCTGCCAATTAACCAATAAACCATTAGCAGTTCCATTATCTTTTTTTTTACAATTAACTATACGTATTGTATAAACATTTGCTGCAGATCTAATGTTAAAGGCACAGTATTTTTTTTGGAATTCAACTAATACTGATAACCACAATGTTCAGAGTTTTCATCAATTCCTTTTTACCTTGACACCTCTCAAGTTACAAGGAAGTTATGTTAAGAGATATAAATTCAACATGCAAACTGAAATATTGGCATGCTTGAAATAATTGCCACCCCATAGGACACCACTTGTACAATTGGTTAAAATGACAAATTTCATTCCAGTAGTTAACAACTTATACAACGCATTTACTTGATTTACAACAACAATACTCTCAACAGGAATACCATGACAAGGTGCTTCTGAGTCTCACCAATAATGTTAAAGATGTTAGTAGGCACATCCAACGCATCTGGGGAGATATTCGTGAACACTAATCGAAAAACTGACTTATTGTCACATTACTTGCAAAGCCTCACAACTTTGGTCATAATTAATTTCACTTACACTGCAGAAAAGGTATCAGGCATCTCAGTTTGTACATTACAAAGACAGAGGAGAAAATCTGGAGACCATTTAACAGTTCCCCAAATGTACCAGCAAAATGTGACCACACCAATTAAAGTATGCTTCCTATACAGAAAAAATAAATAAATAAATTGCAGTTTCTCTTGTGGCATGAATGGAAGATCTTAACTGTTATTTTATATAAATAAAGCAGTTGTTATAATTTTCCAAGAGCAGTATATAATAAATTGCTACAAAACTTAAGGATAAAAACAGCTACTGCATTAAGTTAACGAATTAAGGACATAAGCTTAAGGATCTGTTAACAGTTAGATCTGAGACACACCAAGATCAGCCACCAACGATGTAAAAACTTATGACCCATTATCCTTGTCATCATACCACATCCCACACAAAGTAACAAGGCTGATCATATTTTTGCAAAAGCCGTTTGAGTATAGTAATTATACACCAGTTTCTCTTCTGAGTGGCGAGAGATGAAGCCCTTTTCGTAGCATAACCGATTCCAAATCTCTGTCTTCTTCCATATATCTGAAAAATATATATTTTTTACAATGGTGTCATAACAAAGAATATGTAGCTAACAAAACTACCATTCCATCACACACCAGTAGTCATTTATAATCACTTTACTTAAAACAATATTAAACTAAAACTTCTCAATGGAGCTGTAGTTCACATACTGTATTAAAGAAAACTTATTTATTCCAGATTCTAACCAATACTGCCAAGCAAAATCACAATATTAAGAATTATATGTATTGAATAAACAAAGCACCAAAATGATTAACAATCTGAGAAATTAGAAAATAAATATATTATTTACGGCTAGTCACCCATGAAAGTAAAAATAGGGGGGGGGGGATCTTTTAATCATTAAAACCTTTTTAAACTTACAGTACATTTTTAAATATTTTCTCTGCTTATATCTCTCGATACTTGATTTTTTTTTGCATAGTCTACCACCACTATCAAATTCCTGTTTCTCATTTCATATTTCTTTTCTCATTCCACTTTCTTGCAGCTAATTACAACATTTTGCAATTAATTGTTAAATAGGTTGGACACCTACAATGTTACACTTGCTCTTCATGCAATGACTACCAGTTATTCATTTATTCCTCTTCCTCTTCCCACATCCATTCTTGTACTGAATTTTCAAATGTGTCATTTATAGAGCAGAGTTGCTCAATTACACCTATTATAATAATGCGTAGTTTGACACAGCTGTACTGGATGACAATACTTAGGGTACAGGGATGATCACTTAATAAGGCCAACATGACTAAGCTGTAACAAAACTGACATCCATTCATCTATAATATTCAGTCAAAAGTTAAGATAATTAGTCATGATCACCAAGGCTTTCTATCTACTTATTATCTTTACTCCATTCTCAATTAAATATGTTACAGTAAGTGAAACATGAAAATTTCTTTAGCCTGAATACACAGGTGCAGTAGTAAATCAAGATTTCCACAAATGATTGGATTTTCTCAAGTAATCATAATTCACTGTCCTATACTCAAGAATGGGTAACATTGTTCAACACCAACTTTCAAAACATTCACATTACTGTATAATACTACTTGTTGGTTTAGCTGCTAGGTACACTCATCAGTTGCCTTACTAAAAATAATGTGCGTGATTACACCTACAATAAAATTTTGGTATGTGAAAGAAAAACAATAATAAAGTACACAGAAAAAACAGATATAAGAAAAAGTGAACATCAAACAAAATGATTTTATGAAAGAAAAACACTAAGAGATTGAGAAAAAGAAAGGTAACACAACAGTAACAAAGCAATATTACTTGAAATATGACAGCATGGAGTTTAAGAACATACAACAGTCTAAAAGGTGATGCATAGTGAAGGGAAGTTAGAAAAAGAAATATAGCAAAATAAGGATAAAGGTAAACTTAACTTTTACTGTAACTTTCATGGGTGACCAAGGCTTAATTTGTTATTGCTTAAGATAACATGTTACAGAAAAAGTAAAATAATAAAAATCTAAATTAATAATAAAATACATAATGTTTCTAGAGCAGATTACTCTTTGTGCAGGACAGGATAAACGTTCATGTTGATGCTTGACTTGATATATACGACTCAAAAAATATTCACTCGGCTAAAGCAAGACTAATCACAAATAAAAATAAAAATATAATACATACTGTAATTACATAAAATTAAGTAAATTACTTATGATTGTAAATGTAAAGCAAGTTATGGTAAATGTTAATAAATATGCATGCAAAATATGCTTACAAATCCATACAAATGCATGCATCAAAATGGGTAGTTATAGAAAACATACATCCACCAAAAATAGTCTTCATAATTAGGTTATCAAAAAATTACAGAAAGTGTTTCAACCACTGGATACAAAAAATATGATGTGAAGTGTAGATACACTATTAAAATAAATATCCCAAACTCCCATGTAATTTTCATTATACTGTACAGTCATGGCTAAAATATCCACTGTTAAAAAACCCTGCAATTTTACATTTATAAAAGCCAAGTTTGCAGGTTTGGTTGCTCATAATTCCACATCACAAATGCAGTTATTATTCCACTATCTGACAAGCATTGCTGTTATCATTTCTGATGTTTTTATATACAGTACTGTACTTTTAAATCTATGATTAACATTATTTCTGTTTTAACGTATTTTCATAATTCTGAAAAAGCTTTTTTCAAATCAATTTTAACATTTAACATTTATGAAATTTTCATATTTTTTCATTAAATCTTTAAGCAAAACCTCAGAAACCTTCATTTGGAGTAAATCTCAAGAGCTAATATAACTTTATTCTGTTTTTTTTTATACTGTATACCGGTATGTTATACTCTTCATTTATTCATACAACACTGTTTTGGTTGTGTAGATACGGAGAGTAGCTGTGTACGTGACTAATGTCTTGGTGTGGAAAGTGGCTGCATGCATGGCCAGTCAAGGTAACCAACAATTAATGTGTAATAGAGAGTTAGCGGCGATATGCACATACCTAATACAAGTACCTCAGAATAAAACACTCGGTACTACTATACAGTGGTCCCTCGGTTAACGAACGGTTCAATTAACAAAATTTCGGTTAACGAATTACCTCCCATAAGGATCTTCAAATCGGTTAATGAACAAAACTTCGATTAACAAAATCCTTACGACAAACGCGTTTTGTTGTGAGCATCAGCTGATGGGCTAGTCTGCCAATTCAGTAATCTGTTCTATGTTTACATTCGTTTCCAGTGGAGTGAATATCAAGAAAGTTGTGCTCTTTAATATTTTTGCATTTTTTATATTAAAATTCTTAGTCATTTTAAAATTTAGTTAACATATTGATAATATATGCAGTACAGGGAACTATTTTTTTGTGCGCCCATCAACCGCTTGAATCACCCACCAAGAGTCAGTTTGGCTTTGTTTACAGTGGAGTGAACATCGTTTTGTTGGCGTGTCTTGAATATTTTTTGAATTTTTACATTAAAATTATTAGTCATTCTGAAATGTAGTTAACATATTGATAATACATAGCACAGTGCAGTGTTGATTTAAATAAAATAATCTTGAATTACACCTAGTGAACTTAAAATTTTATTGGTGAAATTGCTGCATCAAGCATGGGTCCACTGAAAGGTGATTTCTCCTCCATCCTCACTTCCTTCTCTTGTCCGTTCTCCTCCACCCCCACTTCTAATTCCCATCGTCATCATCAACACACCTCAAAGTAAGTGTACTTTACTGCATTTTTTTTTACTTTGTATGTACTTTTCTGTGAGCTGGAACCAATTACCCAATATCGCATTGAAACAATGGATTCGGTTAACTAAATTTTCGATTAACGAATGATTCTGTGGAATGAATTGTGTTCGTTAACCGAGGGCTCACTGTATTTAACATACAGGTATATGATAAACTTTTATCTATCTATATTTTATACTGTATATAAAATTTTTGGTATAGTTTCATTATACTTATTTCATGCAAATAATAATGTTTTTATGGAAAACCACAACCTGGGTTCCATAATGCTCATTAGTTTGTAAAATTCAGGAATCCATAATGCTTGATTTTAAAGCTTTGACTGTACACACAAGAAAATCAATAACATTACCTTCTCCATTTTTTTTTTTGGTGAAAACTAACTAATGACAGAAATATCCTTAATGAACTAATCTACTTATATAGACCATGCCTTACCATGCACTACTGTACATGAATCCTGCAAAACCTAATCTTAACATCTCTACAACTTTCTCCTCTATCAGAATAAAGGTCGAACCCCTCTAATCCATTACCCTGTGGTACATCATGATTTGGTAATGGCTATTTTGCAATTTGTTCTTTGAGCTCCTACAAGGTTTGTTTAACATCTGCTAGTCCGGGCTCTCGGTGTTCTGTTCTATTATTTAGTGCTAATTTACCTTTAAGTGTGGATTCAAAGAGACCACCAAGTGGTGAAGAGATAGTAATGCTGGAATTTATGTACAATATGGGTTTCTCTTGAATCTAGAACAGTTATGATTTTCTGTTTATACTATTTTCTTCCTCACCCACCATCTCTTTAATATCCTCATCGCTTTCTTCTTCAGATTTCTAAGTGCTATCAGGATATGTTAGTAAGGAATATTTAAATAATGAATTTAAATACAGGCATGCCCCGTGTTACCGAAGGGTTGCGTCACTGGAAAATTGACCGTAATGCGAAACCTATTTTCCCATTCACTTCCATTATAAAATGGAGATGCGTTCCTAAGGAATTTTTTTCGGCTCCAAAAAAGTAATTCAAGCACTTTTATGAATGAAAATAAACATTTATAAACACATACAATACAGTATACATTAAATAATTTATGATATTCCTTCTTAAAACATCAAGTTTAATATCCAATGTAATGCCTTTGCGGCTTCTTTTTGCACTACTGCGGTCACTTCCACTTGATGGCCTCTTTCCAGTCATCTTGAATAAGGGTAATGCACTGTACTGTACTTACTGTATGTTGTAAAAGTTAAATCCAACTGCTGGGGTGAGAAACATGCGCGCACACTGGATGTAAACAATGGACTGACTCCGCGTGGCGAAGCCACGCTTGGTGGTAGCAAACACCAAGAAATCCACACCAAACAAATTATAATTTGTAAAAAAAAATTTAAATTTTATAGTGATTTTTTTTTTTAATTGTTAAAATTTACCCCAATTTCCGTAAGGGCGGATTTACGGGCCGTAACACGAAATTATTGGTCATAATTTACAAATTCTGTAAGAGCGAAATTCCGCAATCCGGGGTTCCGTAACGCGGGGATGCTTGTATATAAGAGAGGCATTTGAAAGTTACGATCTTCCCAAGGATTTATTATGAAACTGAAAAGGAATGCAATCAGAATATCAAAGAGATGCAACAGCAAAAAAGAAAATGATACATAGAGGGGGTATATGACAATTCCATAATCGTAAAAGCCCATGTTGCGGAAAAATTCTTACAAAAAGTAGGAATGAACAAAGCCAATACATAATGGATTGAGATAAGCAATATGGAGAGAGCAAGGTAAAGCAGACAAAATATTAACAAATAAAGTGTTGCATATAAGATTCTATATAGAAGTTACTGTATTGGCAGTTAGTTTATTCTGGTGAATCAGGACAGTCTAGACAAGAGATTATATGAACACAAGAGTAGACATATAACCACTTCATACCTGAAACTCACTTGTAATACACATCGATGAGTGTGTATATCTGCCTAAGTGGAAAGAAGCTCAGGCAATTCATAAAGGACTAGTCTAGAGGATGAGGAAGCATATGTATATAATGAATAAGCAAGTTAGAAATCACTGGGAAGGATTTCTCTGCTTTGTGTGTAGTTGTGAGAAAATTGTTGTTGACATCATTGAATGGAGCAGGGCCAACAAAGGGGTAAGAGCCAATAGCGGGAATGAACCAATTAGGAGGACTCACGTACAGGTGTCGGTTAAAGGTTTTTTATTTAAAATCTTGAATCTTGTCTCTAGTAGTTACTCTGCATGAGCAAGGCTTTGTGCTAAAAGATTACAGTAAAAAACTTCAGCTGTTGCCTGTGTTTTTCCACCACCATAACCACTTACAGTATTTGTCAATATGAATACCGGTAATTCATATTAAAGTAACCATCCATTTTTGCATCCTTAATTATTTTTACACTGGGAATCATGCACTATGAGAATGAATACAATCTAAAAAAATCCACGAGTTAACAATATCTTACTGCATCATAACCACTGCACAGTAATGAACTTATGGGTACTGTATGTTGTTCAAAATTAGTTATAATGTAATGACTGTAAGTTGTATCTGTTATAAAGGTTTATAATAATTCTGAATATCAGACTGTTTCAGGTGTGCTACATTGCATGTGTTGTGTCAAGATAGAGGTTATATGCAAAATTTTAAAACTTTTCACCTTCAATCTCCATTTATTGTGAGACTGGATGGTTCAGTACTTCATGAGCCACCAACAATTACACATTTTACATTCACCTTAACATTTCTTTAAATCATGCTATTTTGCCCATATATCATACCAAGCTGCCAAGGTCCATCATCATACACATTGACAGTCGCTCTAACAGAGGTCAGATTGAGTTTAATAAGTTGGTACTTATCCTGGGATACCGTCAAAGTTTGGCAAAGATCCTGTCATAGTTAAGAACCTGTCCAAACTACTGTAGACTGAAAGCCTCCTATATAATTTGGCCAAGAAGACTTATAATTAGGCTTAGAATCTGCCATAAGCAGGCTAAGAATCTGTTATAGTTGGACTAAGAACCTGTTGTGGTTTGGCCAAGAACTTGTTACTATTTCATTGAGAAATGATTATAGTTAGACCAAGAACTTGTCATTGTGAGGCCAGGAACCTGTTCACCTAGAGACAAAATCTGGATTCATGGAGTCACACTTCACTTTCTCAAAACTGTACTTGTCTCCATTATTACTTCTAACTTTACCATTTGTCACACAATAGCATGATCGTATAAGCTGTGGTAGGTCACTCATATCAAAGCCAATCAAGTGTAGTTAATAGCAGTTAAAAGGATGCTCTGCCTTGCAGTTTAGGTGTTAGTGTTGGCTGCTGTAGTGTAACATGATGGAACTTACAAGGGCGGGTGAGACCGGCACCAACAACATTCTGCCAGCCAGCCATCCGGAAGGAAGTACGCAAGGAAAAGGTTAAAAGGAGGGTCTGTCTCATTGTCTTGGAGAGAGTATATTGTTTGCCAACTACTATATCATCATGCAAAAATGCTCCATTCCATATACTAATGCACTAATAACAAATTACACTACTGTGGAAATATCTGTATCACTTCAGCTGCAAGAGATATGGCCTTAGGAATAATAAGTACAATAGGCATGCAAGTATCCAGTACATAATAAGATACAAATAAATATACATATATCATACAGTACATGGTAATGATAATGACTACTGTACTTCTAATGAAATATTAATAACTAGTAAGGCATACCTTCTGTTAAATGCTACAAATTAGAATGGGGATGGACCCCTGTAAGTTTGATGCAAAAGGAGCGACAACAAGGTTACAACATGTGGTAAAAACCAGACACAAACTACTATTATCATGGCATAACCACAAGCAGTATTCAGCAAGCTAGAATTGCAGTGATTATAATGGGCACCTTCAACTTTACTCTTAGAGGATGCACCTGCAGTCCTACTCACTATGTCAGGTGCAATTGTGCGGAATGGAAGTGGAACAGAGAGACTATAGCGACGGAAGGGGAAAGATGTGTCCGAGATAAGTGTTCTTTGACTGTACAAGCTTAGGTCTGGAGCAGTTGTACGTCTTACACGGCTCAATCTACTAAAAAGATTAACCTTTCTCTGTGCAAGCTGATAGTGAGTGCAAGTTTTACTACAAGGGTCACTATCAAAAACACTTGGTTTACGGGAGGGTGGATTGTGGGCAAAGTGACTTATGCGTTCTCTAATAGCCAGGGGAAGGGAGGCAGGTCTCAAAGATGGATTCAAGCAAGCATGCAATACCGAAGTCACATCTGTATCCTGACTACTCATGGGAATCAACAGCGATGTGTCTAAGGTCATTTGTCCATGGATGGGTGTAGGAATTAAGGAAGCTAATGATGATGAAGATGAATAACACAAATCTGTAAGATTCTGGAGTTTGGTAGCAAGACAGGGTGGCAATTTGGTAGTGCAGTTTGGGATGGTACAAGGCTTGGTGGTGGTAACCAGCCTCTCAGTGGTGAGTAAATCACAGGCTGAGAGAGAGGGCATGGTATTGTGGTTGTGGCCGCACCTCTGTCTGTCCTCCTCTAACATGGTGACCAATGCATCTTTCTGTTCCAGGATACTCAACATTTCTGCGAGGATGGTGCCTTCACGGTCAATATCATCACGAGATTTCTCATGTTCTGAAATATGATAGCACAGGAGCTCTACAAATACTGCTGTTGCAATGAAACTTCCACTAAAAGATACAAGTGACAATTCATAAATATTATACATCATTAACACTCACGGTCTTGGACAAACTGGCATGTCTGAAAAGTTTCATTACATTTTCACTGTCTTGTGTCCACAATATACAAATAATTGTATTGAAAAAATTATCCACTATGGATGTAGTACAGGTTGTAGCAAGAAGATCCATGGTAAAAATATTGTACCTCTTGGGCTTTGCCCGCAGAATAACTTTTTTAAAATTCAGTCTGGTCTGTGACCTTGAGTGAAGAGAGTTGCATTTATAGATACTGTTGAAATACCATAAAAATCACTGCATGGTATGAAGAATTGCTTTGGTGATTAAAAAAAAAAGTTGCTGGGTGCCAATATCCCACATTTTGGTCAACCATTTGTGGAAGTTCTGGGTACCGGGGCCTAGGACTTGTAAGTGCAAATTAACATTCTAATTGTTACACGTGTGCAGTTGACCTACAAATATCACAACACATTAAATAAAAACATTCACATATAGAAACTTAAATTTCCTCCAGCCAAATATTGTTTTTTCCATTAACTTGTTATTAAGCTCAAAAGCTTGCACTTGCAGCAAGGTGACTAATCTTAAATTCAACCAAAGTATTTCCATCACTGAATTTGTTGACAGCAACAACAAATTCCTACATTATATCAACTTACCAGAGAGGGCCATTCGATGTCTAAGTTCATGTTCTAGTCTCACATGACGGTCCTCCAGTTCCAGCTCCTTGGCTTGTACCATTAGTTCCTGCTCCCACCTTACCAGTGCATTCTTCTCGTGAACCATTGAAAACCAGTCACCCATCAAGTCTGCCTCATCGCGATTTGCTCCATCCTGATAATTGTCAGAGTATTGAACACTAATGAACTGTAAAATGTGATTGTCACACTAGCACTGGAAAAATAAAGTTAGAAGTGATGTTTACAAAGCTGTACTACTGAAGCAGACAAAAGACTGCTTTCCTGACTATGAATTAGTAAACCATTAAATATTAACAAATCAATACCGACTGTAAAGACAGTACTGTATATGGTAGCACATATTTTTAAAAGCATATAAAATGCTAAAACAGTTGTTTCTAACACCAAGTACCATATTTACAAAGGAAGCTATTCTGCAATGTGAAATTTCACCAAAGTATGTTTGCTGACAAAATACTGATAAGCACTGTACAGTACTGTAAAATGAAAAACAAAAGTAACACTGTTGGATGATCTTAGTTAAATAAAAGAAAATATACACAAGTAATACAGCTGCAACCAGCAGAGTGAAATTTCAATACAGTACCACCCCGATTTACGTGATGAATTGAACCGCGGAAAGTGAAAACCGCGTTAAGTGAACAACAGAACATATGGGATTAATTCCAATAGAGACTGGCCCGACCCCCAAACTCCACTTTTTCCGACACAATACCTATGTTGTAGTAAAATAACATCTAAATTTTATGATGGTATGCTCACACAATTAATATTTAAGAGAAATACAGTCGCCAGGTTTATGTCCATTCAAATACAGTGACCCCTCGGTTAACGAACTCAATCCGTTCCAGAAGGTCGTTTGTTAACCGAAAAGTTCGTTAACCGAAACCATTGTTTCAATGGGTTTTTGGGTAATTGGTTCCAGCTCACTGAAAATTTCCTAAATTCAACAAAAATGGTAGAAAAGTTCACTTACTTTGAGGTGTGTATGTAGAAGGCTCCTGGATGATGATGATGATGATGATGATGATGATGATGATGATGAGAATGGGGGTGGAGGAGAAGGAAGAAGAGGAGAAGGAAGAAGAAAAGGCATTGGGGTGGAAGAGAAGTCACCCCATGGCATCATTTCATCCATAAAATTTTAGTTCTCTTGGTGTATTTCAAGATTATTTTCTTTAAATCAACACTGCACTGCATTATATATTGTCAATATGTAAAATTTATTTCAAAATGACCAATAATTTGCTTGGAAACACAGAAAAAAAGCATTTAGTTGAAGAGAGTCTCAAGCAAGATGTTACCTCCACTGAAAACAGAGAGAGACTAACGCCTGTCTGGTGTGTTAATAGGCTGGATGGCACGCCAGAAACTACTTTCTTTACCTTCAATTATGTTCAATAATTGTTAAAATGACTAAAAAGTTAATATTAAACTTTTAAAATTATTGGATAGTATAAACTTCTTGATATTTCCTAAAATAGTAAGGAATTTAAGCCCTAGAACCGATTAATGCATTGGCGGACTGATACTAAAGCTGGTTGCCCGGTCAGTGCAAGCGAAAACATGTTGAGGTCGGTTCGTAAGAAATTCGTTAACCGAATTGTAGATCCTTATGGAAGGCAGTTCGTTAACCGAAATTTCGTTAACCGAGGCGTTTGTTAAATGAGGGGTCACTGTAATGGACTCAAATCCCCCCCCCCCTCTTCCCAGCTCACTAACTCCTACCTCTCTGATTAATGTTTGGGTGAAAACTCTAGATTTTAACGTTTAGTAATAAATAATACCTCAGACTAAAGTTAGGATAATATAATTGACATTTCTGGATTCCTTGCAGGTCAGGGAATATTTTGAATGGAAACTTCATATATTTTGCACAAAAGATAAAATATTTGCTGTGTGTAAACCAAATTATTACTTTAGATCTAAAATTTGTATGTCTAATGCAAAATCCATGATGTTTATATTCAAAATGATCATCATATTGTAAGAATTCCAGCAATGTAAATTATATTCTGGTCGAGTAATTTGTATGAATTTTATGAGCTAAAACAAATATCTTCAGTTAAAAAAAAAAAAAAATATTCTTCATGACACTATCTGTCAATCAAAGTACCCCACCTTGCCTCCCCCCCTCCTCACACTCACGCCAGCTGGGTCGGTCGGTCCCTACCAGATAAATGTGTGGGTGAAAAAACTAGATTTTAACGTATAGTAATAAATAATACCTCAGACTAAAGTTAGGATAATATAATTGACATTTCTGGATTCCTTGCAGGTCAGGGAATATTTTGAATGTAAACGACATATATTTTGCACAAAAGATAAAATATTTGCTTTGTGTAAACCAAATTATTACTTTAGATCTAAAATTTGTATGTCTTATGCAAAATCCATGATGCTTATATTCAAAATGATCATCATATTGTAAGAATTCCAGCAATGTAAATTATATTCTGGCCGGGTAATTTGTATGAATTTTATGAGCTCAAAAAACAAAAAATTATACTTCACTGCGTATATGAGTAGATGCACCGCGGAAAGTGAAAGTCTGGTTCTGGCAAGGTACCGCGTAAATGAGAAATCGCGGAAAGTGAAACCGTGTAAAGCGGGGTAATACTGTATAACAAGCACATCAGCTGATCTTGCAAATTTGTAGACGTATGGCTTCATTGAAATGGCACATCAGGCAGTTATTCCTACAACATGCTCACACAACTTACACTTTCACCTCGAAGTGCCTTCTCTACTGCAACTCCTCTTTCCTCCAGTTCTCGTGTTTTTACCTCACACTCTTCTAGCTGTCGCTGAATTTCTTGGGCCATTCGCAGCCTAAGATCAAGAGAAACAAGCTTCAGCTATGTGTTATGACTTTAATAATAAATATACATAAAACATCCTTCAAGTATGTATTTACAACATACACTACAGGTAAACATAATGTATGATTGGAAAATTTTGAGCAAGGGAAACAAGAAGCAATAAATGGTCGTCCTCAGCTTAGATACACATTCCAGGTCATAGTAACACTGAATGAGTAATCCTACCAAGAACAGCAGGGGCATTCTATATGGGTGTTCTACTGCCTCCAAAATCTGACAAAGCAGTTCATCTCTTCATAATATGTTCATATCCAAGCTGAAGATGGTAATTTTGAACATTTATTATAAGCTAAAGTTGCTAAACTGTACATTTATAGCACTTACTCAATGACGCATTTTAATTATGTGCAAACCACTCTTCTAATTTCAAATATCCAGTTCCATTTTTTTACTGGAAATAACTTTAAACAAACTCCTGAGGTAATATATACTGTATATATATTAATGGTGGAAAGGATCTCAGATTTCTGACATCCATAATGTAGTGAAAATTATAGTGTAAATGATAGTTTAGTCACAGACTCTACTATTAAAACATGAAGGCTGAAAATAAGTAAATTGATATAAAGAGGTAAGTGAAGGATGAGGACCTGGGTGTGGTAGATGATGGTAAATTGTCACACACCCTGTGATGGGCTTGAAATCACTTGTGTTGGGTATGGAAATGCACATACCAGTATATACTTAAAACTGGGTACTGTACCCTAGTTGTTAAAACAATGTACAGTATAGTACATTATGTAAAAAGTGACACTCAAAACTGCAGGTGGTAAACCCGTGCTTGGGGAGGAATTACTGTACAGTACTGCTAAAACAACAGGTCTACAGCAATCAACTTCTAATTGTATGTAAATAAACTTGAAACATTTCAATGCTGCTGCTGATGACATATCTCTTACCTCTTGAGTTCTGCCTGCCTTGCAGCTTTGAATACCGCAGTGCGTTGTTTACGGTTTGTTGATCCAGACCATGGACCATGAAAGCTACGTTCCAGTGTGCCCACAGGTGTGCCTGCAACCCCTCCTTCATCATCCGAAAGACTCTCCTCTGTATCAAAATTCAAAATAATGATGAGAGAGGAAAAAAAAAGAACACTTTAAATTATAATTAATCATCCATATATAAAATCATAAGGTACTTATTAATCCCTGCATATGGTTTAAGTAAATAAAATACATGACAATTAGAAAAATTACAAGATTTTTCACTATCAATGTCTTATAAATATATACAGTACAGCAATTACATGACAAATTCAGCCTTCATGGTAATCATTTTATGAACAATTAGAATGATGTAGTTACTTAAGATAATACAAAGTGATGGTAAGTACGCACATAAAGACATACATAGTGAATACACAAATCCATGAATGATTAAGTTTTATTACACAAGGCACTAAAATTTTATCAGGGAGAGGCCCATACAACTGCTAAAATAAGGCCTTAGAGTTGGTGACCAAACAGGAGTGCCCTTCCTTCCCACCCCTCTTTCCTCTCTTTAGTCTGATTAGTACAATTCAGGGAGACAGCGAATGGCTGTCCCCTACCATCTCCAAAACTGTGGGCTGATACCGCAGGTGGAGATTCATGCCACTTTTACCTCCCCAAAAAATTTCAACTCTTTCTTCAAAATTGTCACCTGACCCACTGTGGTCTGATCCACCCCTCATGAAGAGACAGGAGATAGTACACAACCATCCCCTAGGCCACCTACACTTCCCTCCCAAATTTCAGCTTTCTACATTTAAAATTGTAGAAATGTAACAGACCCATGCATGGGGATGTAGGTTGGACCAACAGGGACAGGAGACAGTGCTCTACCAAATTTCAGCTTTCTATCTTTATGTAAGGATTACCAATAACAATAATATAAGCACTATACACTGGGTCCCACATTAAAGGAGTTCTGGTTACGGAAATTCACCCTTATGGACCAAATCACTCCCACTAAAATCAGGATATGGAAGGTAAATTCACTCTTACGGAATTTTACAATAAATATATATATATTTTAACCACTAAATGCAAAAAAAAAAAATTAATAATTAATTTATTTTAAGAAATTCAAATTGCATTTGTGCGTATCGATGACGTTAGTAGCAGGTTTTGTTTTGAATTTGGGAGTGAATTAGTTAGGGTCTGCCTCTGCACCTAGCTGTTGTTCTTTCAAGATTTTTTACACACTGAAGTGTATTTCCCCTCAAGATGTCTGCAAAAAGGCCAGCAAATTCAAGTGCAAGTACTACACTGGATGTAAAACTATATATGCTACAGAGGTTTGATGCTGGAGAAAAATCTAGTGCCATAACTAAAACATATGTATTTTTATCTATTTACTCTTATTTGTGATAAGCAAAAATATAAAATATCTAAATTAAAATAATATGTGTTAAGAAATTTATATCTCTACAGAAAAGAAAATCCATGTGAATGCATCTTCACTTTTAACATGGAAAAGAATTGTTCGCTTTATGGAAAATCACGATAATGTCACTTTTTCAAGAACACATCCATTCTGTTAACCCTTAAGCCCTGGGTGACGTTCCAGAACGCGTGCCTATTCCTGCCACTGTTTAAATGCCCAGATCGGGTTACCAGGTTCCAGTGTGACTATTTGCCTGTCACGCCACACGCTCGGCCACAGGGAAGCTTCCTGAAAGTAATTACCTACTTTTGTTTGTTTCATTTTCATTGTTTGTCCATTTTATCATGTTGTATCAAAGTAATATTGCTAAAAGTAGTGTAGTTGTATTGTAGGATAGTATTACTGTAAAACAATGCTATGATTATGTTATAAATTTATTTATATGTGGAATTATTATTATTTTATGCATTACTTGCTCTACCAAACACAAAGACAGCCAGGCAGACTGGCGACCCACTGGTGAGTGTTGCCAAGCACTTTTTTATGAGAAATTATGCAAGTAAAATATTCTAAATGAATTATTTATAGGAAATAAGTATTAAGATCAGTAAATATATACATTATTGGCCACCTCCGACACAAAGGCGAGCTAAAAATAGCTGCTAAGTGCGTAGGGGCCACAAGCGTCAGCTGTCAAACCAACACTGTCTCCTTATCTCCCCCTCCTCCCTCCCTCTGCGTGGGTCAATATATAGTTCTTCTTGCTTAATTTTTATTGTTTTATCATTTTAAAAGTTTAAAAATTATTTTTGGAAAAGTTGATCTTTCTCGATTTACCCCCGGGTGGGGGGCACTGCCACCAGCACCCTAACCCGGGGCTTAAGGGTTAAGCTGGGGTCCAGTGTAATACGCATTTTAGTATCCTGTAAAAAAAAAAAGAAGCAATATTCTTCCAACAAAATCTTGAGACAAAGTTACAAATACACAAAGAAATCATTCACCAGAACTATACAGGTACAATTGCAAATAACACAAATTAGTTTCAAACACTAATAAAATGTGTGAAATATAAAAACTTATACCTGGTATAATTATGATGTTTTTACAAAAATAAAATTATTAATGTTACACAGTATTAACTAAAAAAAATTATTATAAACAACTACATACATTTTATGTTGAGTGCAGTGCAGAAAGTATAGATAATGCTAGTGCTTACTACAGTAGTGTTTTTTGCAATCTCTAAAAAGCAAATACTGGTTGACCACATTATAGTAAGCAGCTCAATAACATTAAGTGCACATTAGCAATCAATTTAGCCATGCCAAATATCAGTGGTAAATTTATGCGGAGTTAAAAACACGATGCTCTGTTCAGGTATGTAAGAAAAGTCAGCCTAGTTAGCATGTTAGAAATTTGCAACATCATTCCCTGTGACAGTCATATGCCAATTTGATCTCAACATGAGAAACCCCTAGTACAGTATGATGGCAGATGCTTTACTTAAGATATGTGCATTACACATGACAAGGCAATATAAACCAATTCCATTTACAGTCATTACAGCACAAATGCCATTCAAGTAAAATAAAAAAAAGACTTAAGAATAGTTCACCACATACGTATAAAAATTATTTTAGAAAATTCAATAAATTCCATTAACTAATACAGCATACAACAGTATTTCTCAATTTCACCTGTTAGTACTTCATAAATGGGTTGGTTTGTGTTAATTTCACTAATAATACAACCTATGTTAAGGTACTAAAAAATTACAATAGGTCGTACGGTACTTTCTGATAAAAATTTAATATCGGGGTGAGGGGAGGGGGAAGGAGGCACCTACCTCCTTAATGATATAGAAAATGGTAAGAGGTTTGTGAGTAACTTCCTCTCCAAATCTTTACCCCCAAAATGCTGACATAAGCATGAATTACTCGGGTCACCAAGATATGCCAAGCAACATTACATAAATTACTCAAAGATTTTTTACCAATATACACCGGACTAATTGAGGCAGACACCAGTCCGGAAAATGTAAAAGTCCCCAAAAAGCTAATCGGTACACTGCTTATCTGGACAGCTTAAAAGAAATTCAATTGTTGTTATAATGTTATTGCTGCACTTCAACAACTAACAAGGTTAGTAAAACACTATTACAGCAACAATAAAAAAACTATGAGACAACTCTCTGGGTTCAAAATCACACATAAGTGGTTGTCGACAACTGTTTTCACAGAGATGATTGTTAGGTACTGTAAAGTTTCTTATGTAAGTAACTACAGAATTGGCCTCATGAATATATAGAAACTGTATACAGTACAGTGGTGTATGCTATAACGAATGGATTCTACTACGAATATTCCTATAACGAACGGTTTTACCTATAAAATTGAGAATGCTATAACGAACGAAACTCCTACAACGAACATTATTATTATTATTATTTTTTTTTTTTACAAGTATTAATGATATTCTTTATTTCAGGGGTTTAGATGCATATTTATGGACTTTTTTACAATTATATATTATATTTTTCAGTGTTAAGTGGTTGTATTTGGGGGCCTGGAACAGATTAATCCTATAACGAACGAATGCAATAACGAACAAGGTTCTAGAACCAATTAGATTCGTTATAGCATACCCCACTGTATTATAAAGATAAAAATAAGAAAAAATAAGATCCCTTTAACACACCTTTATGCAATTTCAACCATCATTCTCATGTCATTTAGGCTCATTTGGTGCTGGGTTGATAAAATATTATTGTAAAATAATCAGCTTTCCCTCAAAAAAAAAAAAAAAAAGAATCATACTCAACACGATGAGTCATTTGTTTACAACGGGCAAACAGCTGATTGGCTTAGCTCCCTCACCACTCATGCTTACCACAACATGTCTTCAGCAGTTAGTAAATTAATACTGTAGTGCATTTATCATAAGTTCATAAATACTTATGTTGTGTATTTATCAGCACTTAATAACATTGTGGTTTAGTCATTGATTAGTTGTCTAAGTGTAAAATTAGCCGAATTGAGCCACTTTGTATCACTCAAAGGTAATAAATAACAATGTTAGGAAGGTAACTCCAAATCAATTCTACACAGTACTGTATGTTATAGTGACCCTGTTGTAAGCTGATTTGCTGAAAGCTCTCACACGAGTGCATCCTGAGTGAACACCTTCCGATACAGCTGATCCTTTTATTTTCAAGTGAAATTACAAATTATATACAGTACAGTCGACCCTCGTTAATTCGGACCCCTTTAATCCGGATTTCGGATAATTCGGACAAAATCTGAACGAACTTTTTTTTTTTTTATTTGTAGGAATATTACCTACGCGGACCTAAAGCTAAAATGCTGGTCCACCCACTGCTGGGATAAAACACCAGCGTCTTTTTGGTTAAATGTAACATCTCCACCACTAGTGTGGGGAGGGGATGCAACTTTTAGCTTCAGACATGAAAAATATTTACCATTTACTGCCAGTAAACAATGGAAACGTAAAATATGTACCAATTAGTAATGAAAAGTTGTGCAGTTCCTTCAGCAAATGAAGTTCACCAACTTACAATAGGCTAAATTACCTTACAACGTGTTTTCAGTAGTCTATGTTGAAGTTCTTAGCACAGGCTAACTTATCATATCATATACGGTATCACAGTTCTCATTGATCTACAAAAAATACCGGTAATAAAAACCTTTTTGATATTTCACACTTAATATAATACCCGGTAATCTACTTCAACCTCCTATTGTTTACAACGACGCATGACGCACCACCAGCTATTGAGTATCAGCTAGACGGTACACGTGTTTTTCGAATCGCTTTCAGTTAAAAAACTGTTACATCACATGTATATTTTACCTTAACTGTGCCTGAATGAATATATTCTCGGAAATAAATAGCAGTTTTGCTGAAACGTGATGTATTTTAATGTAATATAGGATAAAATACATGACGAAAACAAAAGACTTTACCTAAGCTTCCGATGTTCTTGAGATGTTATTCGTATTTTTTGCTAGTTTTCGGTTAAAATACTGTTATATTACAATGATATTCTATTCATACACATTCACGGAAATGTAATATTTTTGCTGAAATTACATACGTATTACAGTGGAAAGTGGGATAAAATCGTGACGAAAACAATGACTGAAATATAATGCAATATTAACCCCTAAATCGGTTAATTCGGACAATCGGCTAAAACGGACACCCTTCCCCCCCTATGAGTCAGAATTAACGAGGGTCGACTGTATTGTATTTTCTTTCTATTACTGAAAATGTTACATTACTCATGATGAATAATATACCATAAGAGGCTGAACATAATAGAATATACCAGAACCACAGGTGTATTTCGTTTTGGCCTGAATACGGAGAGTATGACCTAGACAGGTTTGAAGAAACAGATCTTTGTCTGCTTTAAAGCCTGGTGTAGATTTTTCTTACTTGGGAACATAAATTTTTTAAAGCATTCACCTCCAGAACAGGCCACTCTCTTCAATATGAAATATCAGGTTCTGTAATATATGGCCAACCCCAGGATACATGGAAAATGATCACAAAACCGTATGATAATTTACTTGGCGTGTCTATGAAGTGCTGACAAAATTATCCATTACTCTTCACTTAGGTTGAGAGAAAATTGCCACATCCATGATTGTTAATAACGAATATAATTTAAAAATGAGACATTTTGTGGTAACAGATACTGTATATCATCTAGGCATAATATGAAATTTTCATAATCAAGTTTATGAGAGGTGAAGTATTCTTTTAAAGGAGGAATATAATTTTTTCCAATCAACTCATGAAAATACTTGGGTTCCTATGAAGCAGTGTGGCTGTCTATTCCGATATCATAAGAAATCCTTGTCAGAGAAGTTTCAAATCAAAATGCAAACAAGGTATCTATCTACATAAGCTATGAGGAGTAAGTAAGAAAAACCAGTCAAGAGAGGCTCAGGGCATGGGAGTGGCTTTCATACTGTACCTTCAATTCTTGGGGTGTTGAGACGCACTTGGGAAGAGGAATAGGTGGATCCTGCTCTCAAAGACAGCATGTGGACAGGCCAGGCATACAATCAGAGGGACACACACACCAGAGGATATAGGTACGAGTTGAAAAAACAGGGATACATTAAAAAGAGAGAGAGAGAGAGAGAGAGAGAGAGAGAGAGAGAGAGCTCTTGCTTTACACAAAGGTTTCAGGGAATTTTAAGACTGGGTTAGAATATATAGTAGAGGATATCAGATGAATGTACAGAAGTTATTTCAATGATGGAAAACAGATATGTTAAATACGGTATATTGTAAGGGAATTATAAGAACAAACAAAGGCATATGCAGTAAATAAAAATGACAATAAAATAACAGCTTTTTAACACAAAAGAAGAACTAAGTTACATGACTGAGAAAGACATATCATTTCATATTAGATGCAGTACACACTTCTACTATCTAATCTACAAGATATACTGCACTTAGGTTATCACAAAATCAAATACCGTACTATAAAAAATAAAATGCGTACAATAAAAATAAAATATACCACAACGAAAGCCACCTACACTACTGTATTGTGCCCGTACTTTAAACAACAACTAATTGGGGGGACTAAACACCAAACACATGGAAACTGTGCATCAAACAACCACAAAGCCATCTTTATTACATAGCAAAGGATCTTAAAAAATTTACTTTAAAAATTCAAAGGTAACTGGGAAAATATAGCATAATGCTAATTCAATATGACACTATTTTTGTGTGTGTGGCAAAGACACTCACATGACCAAGCAGAAATTCACATAATATTGTGGCTAGTACTGCACAGTTAATGCCATAACCCTGCAAAAATGCACAATTCTATCCAGGATTGGAAAAAAAATGAGCAACAAAATGACAAGTTACCAATGTGATATAATGGCCCCATACAAAATAATGTGACAATCCAAATAATAATGTTTAAACAGTCATATGATTATGACATGATGACTGGTTTACTGTACCAGAAATGTAAACATCACCAAAAATATACAATTATGAGCTTATCAGCGGTTAGTCACCTGATGCTTGAGGTGGTGATGAGGCTTTAGTGAAGGGAGAGGATAAAAAGGGGATTGGACGACGGGAGGGAGAGGTGGGTAAGGAGAAGGCTGCTCGGGTGTTATCAGTGTTGCCACGATCATCAAGGATGTCTGCACTATTGGATCTACCCTTGTCAATCTGTGGAGTTAAATTTAATAATATAATTAATGTTTTGAAAAAATATTTTGGAAACGCTAATTAAAATTGACATATTTCACGAATACTGCACATGTATCAGAAAACTTTAATGGAACAGTGACAGATATATAGTCATCCCCCAATTTACAGAAATTAGTTTTTTGAAAATCCATTATAACGGAAATGGTTTATTTTTGACAAATTCTGTAGACAGAAAGCAAAACTCGCCATAATGGAAAATTTGGTAAAAAGTTTTAATATATTTAAGAAGAAAATAAACATATACTACATAGTTAAGATTTTCTGCCTACATCCTCTAAATTTGAACAAAAACTGCTATAACAAACTAGAAAATTGATACATAGCACATACTGTATCTTGTGTTCAAATAAATAGCTCTTTTTGCCTTCAAACCATCCTCTGGGTGACACCGAGAGTGAACCCCACAGTTCTGCCAGTCACCCAGTTGACCGAGATGTGTGTGGCTGCTGCCACACTGAGCTGTGTGCTTGCTGTGGCAGCTTGACTGGGCTGGCGATGCAATTACAGTACAGCCCACTGCTTCCACACACATGTTCACTTCCCACACATACACATGCATGCTCTTTATTTTTCTTCATTGATCATTTTTTAATTATATTTTCTTGATTTCTAAGTAACTTTAAGAGTATTGAAATAATTTTTCCACATCTTATATAGTTTCATTATATGTAACAATGGCAACATGCATAGCCAACTCACAGCTGACTGGTAACATGTGTTATGGGGATCTCTACAGTATTATTACTCTTGCTTGCTTGCACGCACGCACGCACGCACACACACCACCTCTCTCTTCCATTCGTTGAATTGCCGCATTAACATGTGTATTTGTTACATTGTAATGTCAAGATTTCGTGTAGGAACCTATCTCCATTTACATAATGGGAGACTATGGGAAAATTGGGTTCAATAAATGGAATTTTGATTTATGTTAAGAGTTTATGGAACCTAACCCTGCCATATATTGGGGGATGACTGTATGGGGGAAGTAATTGTAAAATTCCTATAATTGAAATTACAGTAAAAAGTTTATGCTACATTTATTTTAAAAATTTTGTAAACCCAACAAAACATTCTCAAACCTTGATCTTAATACTTTCCATTAACAGGTATATACATTCATTTGAGTTTCCATTTCAGTAAATTAATCTGCATTTCATGGGATTAATATCAGTATTTCCCACTTTTAAGTCAGATAAGAAATACGAGTCAAGTTTAGGTAAGGCTTGTTAAATAATATAGTGCAAACTTTTATGAACACAAGGAAATCCTCTGTATGTTACAATACCTTATAGTAGACCCAACAACAATTATTTCACATTCACCTTCTTCTTTTCTTTGGATCTGGATAATCGCAATTTTGACAATTTGTCCCGGACTGTTGATGGACTTTTAGGGGCACTTTTAGGTGTTTCAATAGGAGCAGTACTTAGAGGCTGTATAGTTGGTGGTATAGTTTTACAGGCTGAGACTCCCTCGGTTGTGTCACTTGGTTGGGGCTGCTGTTCACTCTTCTTTTTATCATCTCCACCAGATTTGCTGAACATACCTATAAATATGCTACAATTAGTCAAATCTTCTGTTTATAAAGTGTTAGTATTCTTTGTTAATGTTTTCCTTCTTTGCCAGAAACTATTCTTGATGTATCATTCCTCCCAGGAGTTCTCCACAGAGGAGGTGGCCATGACAGAAAAGCATGCCTATCACTTCACACCTCATTTTTACCTCTCTATTCCCATTATCCTCCCCCCTCTTATCTCCTTAAGTGAATAGTGTCATCTAAAGGTGAAACTTGATATTATTAAATGATATGACCATGGGGAAGGAACAAGAGTTGATGTTCAGCCGCGAGGAAAAGTATATCGCACACACTTCTCAATGAATCACTCATTACCACAGTGAAAGCAATTATTTTTGGTATTCTTACAAATACAAACTCATTGTTTTAAAGTCAGAAGAATGGCACAATAGGTGTACATGGTGGTGAGCTGACTACAGTTCACCCTGTCAGCTCACCATCTACACGCAATGTCCCACTCTTATCACAAACTCTTTATATCAACTTTCAGATGCATCAATGGAATAGGGTTATTAAGCCTCATTAAAGTATGACTAAATAATCTAGTAATTTGCAACTAAATTAATAAAATTTTGTTGAACATGAACCTTTGAATTTCCTATAATTTTGCAATATTGCTGCATCTTAAGGAACCAGCCATATAAAATCGCATGCGATATGTATTAATGAATGTCAACAGTGTCAACAGTTCCATCCTTACAATTTACAAAAATACCATCCAATATTTTTATAAACTTCCACATGTTATAGCATGCAAGTGATAATTTCTTCAACAGTGAGATACCCACATCTTCAGGTGATTTAGCACAAAACCACCATTTTCGTCTTAAGACGATTGGCATTTGGTGCCATGAATTTAAAGCTGTGTGCCAAATGTCATACTAAGTATGCAAAGTTGATGATTAGTAGACACTCTAGAGTGAGACACAAGGCTCCTACCCTCATTGGCCCCTCACCCACACCAATAACACCACAGTCTGGCTCACCACTTATGCAAGGGCTTTCAAACGACTTTGCACCATAACAACATCCAGCACTCAGCAGTTACTAGTTACACTCCGCCTCACTTCAGACACAAAACTCACCACCCATTATAAGTGCAAAGATTTTATCTGGTTTTTATGTCTTCTTAATGTTATGTCTTCAATTTCATAATTATTATTTTTTAAATAACTTTCAATTATCAGGGATTTTTCCCAGCATATACTGTACAGTAGAGTACCCTCGATTTCCCAAATACTTGTATTGTACTGCAGTTACTGGGTTAACAACTGAGCAGATTCTTTAATAAACGTTTTGAGTATTTTTTGAAAAGAACATGTGAAAACATGCTGCATCAGGCATCAGTTCCCACCAATCTTTGGTTTAATTTGACCAATAATATTACTTCATTAATAAAAACAAAATATAAAGATAATTAAAGTACAGTCAGACCTTGGTTATCACGCCTAATTGGGACAACGCTGAGTGCATGATAACAAAAATGCGATAACGAGAGTACAGAACCTATGGGATTTATGCTAATTGGTTCCAGGCACCCAAGTTTCCCATTTTACGACCATTTAGACCCACTAAATATATATATATATATATATATATATATATATATATATATATATATATATATATATATATATATATATATATATATATATATATATATATATATATATATATATATATATATATATAATGTCATAAATAGCATAGGAATGGTTAGGTTTATTACAAAGCGATGAAAAGAGTACGCTCAATACTGTACGTAGTCCACAAAACATGTAGCTATGTTTTCTTTAATTGAGTCCCCCGTCATAGGAGTCCGTTTTCTCTCACTTCAAGACGCCCGAGTCCTCCGGTTTCTCTCAATCTTAGAGTGCACCCGAGACTTCGTTATTCCTTAGTAATGACAACAGAATTTGAAATTGCAACTGGGATTGCAATTGTTGAGGCAACTTAGATATGTCTGATTATTGTTGGAACATTCAAGATCCATTGTGAGTGATGTTGAAAGTTTCAACTGTCTTTATGTTTGGTAAAACTTGTCAAGTAAGTGAGTGTCAAGTCTGTCAGTATGAGTGGCATGTGTGAATGCTTGTGTTTGTACAACCGCTTTCAAGTTTTGTTACCTCCATCCATTTTCATCCTTCAAATGTTTTTTTGTCAATTTGTAGGTGAAAGATTTTATCCTCAATAGATGTACAGTAGGTGAAACAAGGGGGTAACAATATACCTGGAGGCAAATGTGTCATAACTAAATTCTCAGCCTAAAGATATATACAGTATAATGTTATGGTAAGTGTCAGAAACACACATAGGCATGGCTAGGTTTATTAGAGTGATGCAAAGGGTACGCTCAATACTGAAGTCTACAAAACATGTAGCTACGCTTCCTTTATTTGAGTCCCCCATCATAGGAGTCCGTTTTCTCTTGCTTCAGGATGCCTGAGTCCTCCATTTTCTGTCAATCTTAGAGTGCACCAGAGACTTCGGTATTCCTTAGTAATGACACAGAATTTGAAATTGCAACCCCAATATGGGGTTGCAATTGTTGAGGCAACTAGATATGTCTGATTGCAGCAAATGTGTTATTGTCAATGTGTAGGTGAAAGATTTTATCCTCAATAGATGTAGGTGAAGCAAGGGGGTAACAATACACCTGGAGGCAACTGCGTGATAACGAAATTCTCGGCTTGAAAAATGCGCTATAACAGCAGGTGTGCAGATTTTGATGGAGGCGTGATAACGAAAATCGTTATAACCAAGGGATGACTGTACAGTATAGGGCTATCAATTGAATTAAACAATACTCCCTAATTATTCATGAACTTTATACTTCTGGCAAATTTAACAACTCACGAGAAACTGCCGGAACATCAACAAACCCATTTAACTCACTTTAAGAAAACTCACGACTTCTAAATAGACTGTACCTAATGCATATTTTATTACCGTTTTTAAATTACGTGTGCAATTATATTCTGTTTATATTGTTATTTAAGAAATAAAACAAAAGTTCAACTGGCTGTGTGTGTGTGTAGCAATTTCTCAGTAACTTCCAAGTCCTCCATTATTACAGGTATGTTAATTATTGGCTTATAGGCATTGCATACACCAACTCTCTTTATTTTAAAAACATATTAATAGAAATGTCTCGGCTTTAATAATGGAACTCGAAAGGAAAATGTGATCCTAGTTACGAAAAACAGATTTACGAAAGGTTTTTCAGGAATGGAACCCTTTCATAAATTGGAGACTGCCTGTACAGTCTAAAATCTGTAAATTTTCAATTTAGTACAAGTACTGTACTGTTTATGGTAAAAGAAAAACATTCTTCAAAAGTCATATTACACGAGTCTAATTTACACAAACTGATTTCCATATTTTATGATGTACTGTACAAATTCACCATGCTGAGTTTCCCATTTCACATCTGTTTGCTGGACAGACCATATAAGGGCATCTCAAATAGTGAAATTGTAATAATCTAAATTTTTTTATCAGTTCCACTTGCTCTAGCAGCATAAACAATCAGCCATGTATAAAACCACTGATTGGAGGCCAATCCTCCACAAGACTAGCAGTGAAGAAGACTTCATGAAAATTCTGACTCGTATAATGTTGTCAAATATGAAACCAGCTGGTGAAACTATTAAAAAATAGTTGAGGCAATCTTAAAACAACAATAATAGGTCCACTGCAAGATCTATGCTGGTGACCTGACCCAAGAAATTACATCATCTACTTACAGTGCACGAGGCAAAATTTCAATAGATCTATGACACATTAGGCTCTTGGGAATGGCCTGTCACGTTCACAGTCATCTTAGCAAATTATGACTAAAATGGTTACCCTCCGAACAGGATGGCTTTGCGAAATGTTTACCTACTTGACACAAAAATTACTTGCTTGGGGTCAATGGGTGGGTTCTGGTTTCAAGCCTGGTTGTTAAAAAAACAGATACGTGAAATTGTAAAGGATATTCAATAAGCAAAATAAGCAAGAAAAATATTGGATACATTACTCTGCTCTGAAAATGGGAAATTGGATAAATGACAAAAAATAATGATGTGAACAAACCTGCAAAAACCTGAATCAAGCTTCTTCTTCTTTCACGGTCTTTTGATTTTTTGCCTGATTTCTTGTCTGTTATTTTTTCTGAAGAAGCCGAGTCCTGCAGTGGATGACTTGGTGGAGTGGTACTTGATGAGACAGTAGCAGCTGAAGTTGCTGGAGACAGTGGTAATACATTTGAGTGTTGAACAGATGGAGAAGAACAGATGACAGGAGATGCACTTGTGCTTGCAATTGTTGCAGTAATTCCAACAGAAGTTGGGACAACAGAGGCAGCTTTACTTGGGGAAGTGGAAAACACTTGCAGAGATTCAAGTTCCAATAAAGATGGTCTATGAGTATGACGTCGTAAGAGTTGACTATTTGGTCTAGAATCCCCACTTTCACTACTTCTTGTGCTTCCCCTTCGCCTTTGTCTATATTCCTCTAATCTCTCCTTAACACGGTCATCTTTGTTATTCCACTCTTCTTGTTGGCCATCTGAGGAGTCTCGATGACGATGTTGCCGTTGCTCAGCAAGCAACTCTTTCACCCTTTCATCTTTATTCTTTGGTGCTGACTCTTCTCTCCCTTGAGTCAGGACAGCTGTCTGTCTAACCAATGTTGGAAGCTCTCTCCCCTTCTCTTCTTTATCACCTTCACTTTCACTCAAACTACCTTTTTTAAGTTTTTCACGTAAATTATCAGCCAAGTTTGGAGGACTTAATCCGAAATCCAAATCTGTTTTAAGGCGTGCACGAATACGTGCCTCTTCTCTGGCTCTTTCTCTCTCTATAGTGCTCAGATTAGGAGTAGACAGAGGTCTGTCTGAATTAATGGGCGTTGACATTCCTGATGAACCCGGAGTATGGTGCCTTCTCAGTGGTGTGATTGGAGCTGGAACAGATGGCACTTTAAATACTTCCTTTTTGGGAGGTGTCCTATTAAACTGCTCTGGGTGAGTCATGGGGGTAGCTGGGAGATTTATGCGAACTGGACTTGTTGGTTCTGTATTAGTCACAGGTTTCACTATAACATCACCAGGAAATTGTTTAGGTATATATTTAATTGGATTTTTGTCCTCCTTCCTTTCATATACTTCTTCATCCAGACTCTCATCTGCAAAAGGAACAATCAAATCTTGAAGGCTTTCTCTCTTGTTTGAAAATCCTAAAACACTATCTTCTCTAAAGATGGTCCCCACTCGAACTTTTGACCTATTCTCCTCAGCTGCAAATGTCTGCCCACTTTCTGGTAAATCCGGTTTAATAGACTCTAATCTTAGCAGCTCTCTGGTGTCTATATGAATAATCTTTTTGTCTTGAAGATCCTTCTTTTCTAAACCTGGATCACTTTCTTCCTTCTCAAGAAGGTTCTCCTGAGATGACTGAGGGCTGAAGAGTGAAGTTCGTGATCCAGTGGAGGAAAGTGGACTAACAGATGTTCTTGATCCTCTTCTGGGTGACTTTTCTGAATTTTTCCAAGATATTCGAGACATGACCAATTCTTTAATCAGATCTTTTTCCTTTTCTTTACTGCTCCTCAAACTTTTCACAATCTGTCTCTTAGCTGTATTAGGAGAAACAGCTGGTTTACTTGCTACAGTACTGTTCTGAACTGTACACTGTGCCAGTCGTTGTTCATTCTTTTGTCTTTCTTCTACTTCCTTTTTAGAAGGTGTAAACAATGGTGATTTTGTAGAATTTTTCTGAATATCTATAGAATCTCTGACATATCCAAATGGGCTCATTCTTTCTTTGAATCTCGGAATATATCCTTCATAGCGTTTTGGTGACGTGTAGTCATCTAAGGAATCACGTCGATGTTCTCCATTTACTTTTGGCCTGATTTCACTTAGTGAAGGAGGTTCAGATGTACTTTTTGGTAAATGTGACTCTGACATACTTTTTGATATATGGGACATGCTCATTTTGAATTTGATATCTGGATCTTTAACTTCTTTATTGTCATGTTCAGCCATATTGTTATTCAAGGCTTCCTGGACACTACTTTGTGAGTTATCATCCATTTCAGTACTTGTACTCTCTGATGATTTACTTTCACTACTGCTTTGATCCTGAACTTTTACACTTTCTATATCAATAAGAGATATCTGTGGGGCTATGGGAGTTGTAGGAGTTTCTTCTTCTAACTTTCTATAACCTTGTTTTTTGTGTGATACATCATCAGGGCTACTAGCACTCTCACTTGTGTCCATAAACTCTATGCCTTCTAAATCTGCAAGAGCACAAGGTTTGGAAGGCACTGAGGTGGTAATATTAGGACCAGTCGAGATAGCAGAGTCTGTGTCTCCTAAGCTTTCCACTGATGCGATTCTTGCAATAATTTTTGAGGAATCTTTCTTCACCGATTGTCTATTAGGTTCATTGAATTCAACCTCTAAATCTTCACCAGCACTTATACCATCATTTTCACCTGCCCAATCTGACAACTCGGGCTCTGTGTTTTCCCTACCTTCCTCAGGGCTGGACAAAACTTCTTTTGACACCAGCGGCTTTGTCTCATCACTAATGCTTATAGTTCTTTCAAGAGGCAATTTTTCTTGAATTTTCTCTGGATTTTCCACAATAATTTCAACAATAGGTTCTATAGGTTCACTTACAGTTTCTTCAACACTGGGTTTCTCCTCTTCATTATCACACACTGTTAAAATCTGAGATGTTAATGTGTCACTATTTCTGGATTTATTATCACTATGAGAAAAACCATTAGTGTTTGTACCAGGTGATTCAATAAATTCTGAAAACTTATCAGTATCCTCTACAGCATCACTAGCAAGTATATTAAAGAGTTCATCAACATTATCCTCTATCTCATTATGCTTTTCTGTTTCTTTATCATCAGCTACACAAATTGTTTCAATTTCCTCTTTTAATATGCTTTGGCACTTAATTATCTCTGGTTCACGTGAATGTGGCTCATTTACCAACACGAGTTCTCGATTGACAGTTTCGAGCCCTTCATTCTCCCCCAGCACTGATAACCCAAACTCATCTATTCCTTCTTCATCTGATGCAACATTTTCTTCCTTTTTATCTGCTTCTCTTTCGTCACTTTTACATACTTCCTCTTCCTTGTTGGAATTAATTCCACCACTAATAGCTCTATTAATACCAATAATTCCCACTTCATTGACAATGTCTTTACCAGTACTACTCGTTACATCATTATCACACACTGCATTATCAATTACACTAGAACTTGCTTGTTTCTGAATCTCTATGGTAGTTGGTGATTTTTTAGGAACAGGCCATTTACAACCAGAAGGCACATTGTCATAATCAGATCCATCCTCACTGGACACATCACTGCTTGACTCACTACTACTTTCTGACACTGGAATTCCCACTAAGTTTTCTTCTGGATTGTCTATGGCTTCATTTATTTTGGAAGATTCTCCAGAGACTGGGAAGCCCTTCAATTGATCTGGAACCTTTACCTGGACTTCTGACTTATCTATGGCTTCCACTGGATACACTGAAGATTCTATTTGCGTAGTAATATCTTGTTTGGCTTTTTGACACGTAGTTGCTACTGATGATTCAGTTAAAGATACATCTGTTGCTACTGATAATTTTGTTTGAGAAATGTTCATGTCAGCTTTGTCAGTATTAGTTGAATCAGAGGTGTTATCACCCTGAGGAAGAGATATAGACCTAGCTGGCAACAGCGGTGATGACGGAGAAGATGCTGGGCTTCTTGGGGAGGGAACTGATGAGCTCATGAATGCTTGCATAGCTGCACTTGGCTGGGGAGCTGGATTCAACATTTTCTGTGTTTCAGATATTTTGTCCATGAAACTCTTAAAACGGTTACCTAAATCTGCTGTTGAGACCGACTTTCTAGGAAGATTTACTGTTTCCCCAAGAAGGTACTGACGCTTTAACTGCAGGGCTCTCTGAGCTGCAATTGCCTCTGTTGAATCTGTCCTTTGCAAAAGCCTCTTGAGCTGTTCTGCTCGAGGATTTGTTTTACCAGTTTCATTTAGATTGGTCAAACTAGCACTCTTCTCACCATTCTCTTTTCCCCAATCACCAGATTCTTTTTTTTCTACTATTTCCAAATCTACTTTCTGTGACACTAATTCAGTTCTTGGTTCACCCTTCACCTGGGTAACGCCAGACTGACCATGACTTTCCTTGGTCTTATACGCTGATGGACTGGGGTTTATGTCCTGATGTGTGTCTTGGGATTCATTGATAATTATGGTAGGGATCTCCTTAGGAGGGCCAGGCTGAACATGGTCTTCTGCAAATTCTGAGTCAGTGTCAATCTGAGTATCACTCTCTTCACTTTCCTCATCACTAGCAACCTGTAGTAAAATGATAAATGTTATCATTATATTTCACAAAAAAAAATGAAATAAAAATTCATACAACTAAATGTAAAATATGCTCATAACCAATTATGAAAAGCGTGAGCACAATTTTTTTCTTGTAACTGTAAGGGAAGCAAGCCTGGTCCAAAAAAGCAAGACCAAACAAGACTGAACTTGACCTGTACACAAATTTAAAAAGAATCTATAAAAACATAAAGATAATGCACAGACACTGAAATCTTCACTAGATGGCAGACAATGAGCAAAACTAAGCAAAAATATACCAAAAAATCTCTGGGTATTAAAAAGTTTAATAATAAAGTAATCAAAGTTTTACGACCATTTTCCATGCTTGTGTAGGTTAGCTGCAATTATCAAATGAGACAATATATTATAGGTAGAAGAATAAAAACAAACCTCAGTCTCAGAACCACTATCCGAAGTTTCAGCTTTCCTTGGTGGAGCCGCCACATCTATGTTGACTTCCATACGGCGGAGTTCACGGGCACGTCGCACTGCCTCACCCTCGTCTTCATCATCATCATCCTCACCTCCTTCGCCCTCAGTGGCTGTGTGACTCTCGTCTCCTGTAAATGTAAAATACATGCATAAATGAAAGCATAACTCATGTCAACAATATGTGTTTTAACCTACTGTATGTTTCATAAGTCCAAACACTTTCATAGCAAAAATGTGGCTTTCCGCTGAAACCATTCACTAACCTTCAGCTCCATATTCTTCACTGTAATTATCTGAATCAAGGTCTGACTCTGATTCATGACCAGAGCCACCTTCATCTTCATAGTCATCATCAAGACGGTCAGTGGAGTAACGCCTATGCCAGGACTCCACTAGTTTGCGAGTCTCTGCAGCAGTCAGAGTTCCTCTACCATCCGGGAATTCCAGTTCTTCATCATTAACTTCTTCATCGCTGGAAAATTGTCCTCTAATTAAATGACTTGTTTTATTTCAAGTAGTCAAGTATCTATCTAACATTTTATATTTTGACTGGCTGTATGTGGGTGCATCCCTTGCTCAAGAAAGCATCTATACTTCAAACCTTTTCTGAGCATTGCTGTAACATCTGATCTAATTTTCACAAATTCTGCTTTAAAAAATTACTTGGCTCCAATAATATATAAGAAACTGTAAACATTATTTTGTGTAAATGACAAGTACAGTATGATACATTCCTTTTCATATCTTGTTCAATGTGCCAACTTCATATGCATAGTAGTCACCACACTGGAATTATTGCATCTATAATATATATACAATACCTAAATCTGAAAAATAGATGCCACCCAATCTGTGAGCTTCAGTTTCTAAAGACACCATAGACTTTATATTCATATTGAGAATTTTATATCAACAATGACATGTAAAAATGCTTCTTTTCAAAAATATGGTAACGAAACCTTCCTAATTAGTAACACAGAGGTATTATTACATCAAAGGAAAAATAAACAATTTAATATGAGTGCACAGCACTCAGAAATTGGTACAAAGTGAAAGGAAAGAGGGTAGAGAGGTAAAGAGCTTGGAGGAGGGGTATAAGGAGAGGAAGACAAGAAGGGAGACTGGGTAAAACAAAACTAACCCTTTTAATCGAGAAAACACATCTGTACACACACAAAATAACTTCCTTATCTGCATAATACTGTACTGTACAGTACACATATTTACAACAACCACCAATTTCTTTATTTATTTATTTATTAAACTGCCTGTGTTCCATTTATCCCCCCCCAGACCACAACTTGGCCGTGGGGACCTGGGAGATGCTGCCAACTGTCAACCACAAGAATTAAATATCCCATTTAAACAATGCATCACCATACTCCTGTTTTCGAACATAAGCAAGGAAATATTTGGATTCAAAAAATGTCAAGATAAATAATATATTATCCGTTGCATATAAAGATATATAAACCAAGGACACATACAGTACAGGTACTCCTCAACTTAGGAACGTTCAACTTACAAACTTTCAGAGACACAAACATCATCACTGAGGGGGGTTACCTGCCAGAACAGGTGTTTAATGTGGTTGAGACTAGATTATTTTGAAGAAATTCCAGATAGAACAAACATTACCTAAGAGGAGAAGAGTGAGCTAGGTTTTAAGGCTGTATAAAAGGGTATAGTTGCACTAAACATCCATAATCTTTTCATTTTTTACAATATGTTTGGTATCTACAAGAGCAAAGTTGGACATACAAACAAGCCTCAGGAACGTAACTCATTCATAAGTAGAGGAGCACCTGTACTGCTAATTTATGATGTTTAGATAAAAGATAACGTAGCACTGCTTTGTTAACAAGCGTGATGCAGTAGTTTTATTTCACCTGCAGTATATTTTTCCACTCTCCCATCCCACCTTGTTCAATATTATGAGTGGGAAGCAAATGAGGCCAGCAACATGAGTGCTGTGTAGTGTTTTATTACCCGATATGATTATATTTGACAAGAATTTTCTTCATTAAATTTTCATTCAACTTATAGGTTAAATTATATATATAATATCAATTATATTATATTGATATTGTAGTGTTGACCGTTATATGATTGATTGAAATATGATTGATCAGTTTTACAATGTTAAGAAAAGAACACAAATTATCGCTATGCGATGGCTTAGATCAGATTTTTGCTGGTCATTACCCGATGGCTACCCGAATGTTTTTCTTGAATTGTCACAGTTATGAAAAAGTGCACAGCTAAGAAAAAGTGAAATGCAATAACTCACAATATTCCGAGATATGAGGACGCAATCTAGGAATGGCATAACATATGCGACTCACGCGGGATGCATGAGAGGTTTTGTCCATCCCCGGTGACTGCCAGGCTGAGCTAATAACTAATGCATTGTATTGCAAATTTCTAAACACAGATCAGCCTAATTGATCCATGCAAAAGATCAGAAGATTTATTTTTGGTAGTTACAAACAAAAAATTATTCTGCTAAACTTTCAAAGTAAAAGAATATAGCACCTACCTTAAGTCTGAGTAGTCGCTATCATCTTCACCATCAGAGTCATCCAATTCATTGGCCGATGCACCAAAGTTACGATCCGTCCACTCATCCTCAGAAAGATACTCATCCTCATCACTCTGTTCCACAACTGAATTCTCAAATTCAACACGTTCTGGCGTAGTGCCACGGTCTTCTGGGGAAAGGCCAGTTGAAGTCCCTCCTTTCCCTATTCCAAGACTGCTAGCAAGGGCACCTGTTGCTTCGCCTGCCCCCACCACTGGTACCTGTAATAGTGTGTGTGCCACCATCACCTATGTGCCATGCCCAAGACAATAGGTAGGAGCTGCAGTCTGTGGCAATGAGGCCAAACATCCTCTCACTGAGATTCTGCATCAGCTGGCTGTGGTAGCCTTGGTCAAAACTCACAAGGTCCTGCTACACTACATCTATATTAAGCATTCCAGAAATATATGTAATTTGTTTCTATTACTGAAGTTCTGTACTTGTATTTTACATCTCTCCACCAGTGAACATAACATCTGAAGAGGAGCTGTGCAAAAAGAAAACTGAAACTCACTGGTTGTGAGTAAAATATGGTGTTAAATGAATACACACCAAAAACAAATTATCCTTTTAGGTGGCAAAAAGTTCTGAATGTATATTTAGCAATCAACAACTAAAAGCAATGTATAGTACATTGAAGTCAAAAATATAATTAAATTCAATAATCTTGCAATGCAAATTTGCTGTCTACACAAATTAACTTTTTCCCACCACTGTAAACAGTTACTCTTCTGAAGCTGATGCTTCAAGCCTGAAAAAAACTACTAATCGTAAAATACACTTGATAGATAATGCAGAAAGAAAGATAGTTATCTGAAATACATACAAAGAAGAGATGATTAGTGTGTGCTTATAATAGAAGATTGATACGGGCCATGGGTGAATTTCGAGCTGTTCAAGAAAAGGAGACAAAGTAAGTCAACAGAGAGAAATAATATGATAGACTGTCAGAAGAGTCCTCTGTGGTTGTGTGTCGTTCAGGTCTAACTACAGTGCAGATGTTGTGCAAGATGCTGACTCTGGCATGCCAATGCTATTTACATGTTTTACAAAACTGCAATTTTTTTTTCACTTTATTTTATTTATTTTTTCATTCAGTTCCATACACAATAATATTACAATGTCAAGTAACTCTACAAGACTCTAGGAAACTATACATTTCTGGATATTACTAAATAATCTAAAATACAATAAAAATATGCCACAAAAGTAACCACATTAGTGTTAGCAGAATACTAAATGGAGTTATCATTAGCTTTACCTTGAGACATTACACACATCAAAACAGGGCAGCAAAGTTGTAACGTGAACCAAAAGTGTACTTATACTAGACGTCTAGTTAAGTCCAGTGTGGACTAACCCTGAGTCTTTGTCATATGTTGGAGCCACAACAAGTAACGACTCCAGACAGGTGAGGCATTAGTTGCCTTCAACTTTCCATCAGCACACTCTGGACTAGAGCGTGGGGGAGTTGAGTCAGAGTCAGTGTCATAGCCACAGTCATAGTAGGGTCTTTCATAAACATGTTCCTGGTAGAAACACACATTTGAAGGGGATGAGGGAGACGAAACAGAAGACAGGAAGGATGGGGGAACTAGAGTATAACTCATATTACTCTTTAGAGACAATACTTTATCTCCATGGGATATGTCAGAAGCAGTGAAGTCTAATCCCTTTAAGTTTTGACATGAAAAAACTTTTTTGCCTATGCTAGATTGCAAAGTGCATTTTGATGCTCTGTCTGTCTTTCCTAGCTGAGACTCCATCAATTTACTGTAATTTATAATACATTTGGGATTCCTTACATTTGTTTTACGACACCGAAAATCATTACTTTCAGATAAATGAGTCCCACTGGATAATTTTACATATAGCTGAGAATTATGTTCACACTTTCCATTATATACACTGGAATTAGTGCTCCTGTAAGTAGCATTTTTCTTAAGCCCCGTACTGTATGTGGACTTAAAACTCTTAGATAATCTATTATTTCTCATCAAAGATGCATTAGTAGAACCTTCAGAACAACAATGTGGTACGGACTCAGAACTCAAAGTCATTCTACAGGGTTTATTGACATTGCCATGCAAATCCTTTTTCTCTATACACAATTCTGGGGTGTCTTTAAGCTTGGTTTCTCTTAATTGTGTCAGACTATTGTTTGTACATTTTTTATTGTCTATATGATCAGAACCATCACTATGGCAACTGAGGATGCACTCAGGGCGATAGCGGAGAGAGGAGGCTCGTCGTATAAGAGCTGTGTACTGCCGCGGGGAGATCTCGCCATCATATGGTTGCATCCACCCTAAAGACCCATGACCAAAAAGGGGCCATGTTTGGGGTCCGTTTCTCATCTGCAAGCCCATGAATCCTGGGGTTAGTTTTTAGTAGTAAGATCCAACCATTATGTGAATTACAAGTGAACCTTCTTAATATATTAGTACGAAAGGAAATAAAGTCACAGCAAGTACAATATAAACCAACACACTGAGAATAATTAGTTATGCATTAATGTGGCATTAACTTCCATGCAAGTTTCATGCACAATAAATCACTGTTTAAATGCATGCTTCTTCTAGAAATATATATATAAAATAATTTAGGAAAATCAGAAAGGTGCAGGAAAAAGTGATTTAGCTGAAGATAAAAGTAACCAAACACTGTCACTTGACAGATAATGTTGATGATTTAGAGGAGGACTAAATAACAGCTCCATCAATGAACAACTCTAAATGTCCAATACCACCCCTGAAAATATTTAATTAGTAAAAATCTATGCCCACATGTGTTACCCCTACCTTCTGCTACAACCTTTACAACTGTAAGGACACAGCACACCCTAAATCCCATATCAGCCAATTTGAATTTTGTAAAATTACCTTGTCCCTTCCTCAGTGACTGGCGTTCACTGATCAATGTCGGCAACTTTTTATCTCACCTGGCCTCAATACAGCTGGTGGGGGAGACGAACAGCTGCCTGTGCAGTCTTGTCATCTTAGGCTACCAAAATCCACGCATTATCAGGACCAAGTACGCCAGGGCCAGGAGTATCATCAACCAAACGAAGATCTGCCTCAACTAGAAGAGGCCATGTTTTGTTTATAAAAGGAAGTTTACTTCCCCTCGAAAAAAGTTGCACATTTGCAACTTGCGGTGTAAATAATTAGCAAGTGTGAGTGATGCGCACAGCAAACGCTTGGACTGAGTGCTGAATTCTCACCTTTATACAGGCTAGGATGATGTATCTTGAAGCATTCTTTCACTTTCTTAGTGTAAAAGTTACTCAAAAGTGATGATTTATGTCAAGTACCACCCCAGAGACTCATTTGTTAGAACATTTCATTAAAAAATTCTGAACAGTTTCTTGGTTAGTATTAATTATTGTCACACCAAGGATACACTGTATGAAATTTTTTCTTTTCATGAAGGCAAGACATCTTATTTAAATAAACAAGCAAATGTTATCTGGCTAGCCATGCTTATATACGTTAAATTATAAGAAGTCAGGTCATTTCTACACATACACAATCAGTATGTTAACTCTTGGTTATGGCAAAACTGCCAATATAAACCATACTAGCATTGCCATAAGTAGAATGATATGAAAATTTGTAATAAAACAGGCAACAAAATTTAACAGGACTCCTCCAAAAAATAGTGTTAGCAAAACACAGCTACAAGGAGTTTTCAACCTCATATTTTGTTAATGGTTTTCTTTATTTCACTAGCTTCATCTTCACTGAACTCACTTTCAGTACAGTACACAAATGTGATACCACAGGAAAAAGTTAATTTTTATTATTTCCTCTATAAATACTCACCATGTGCTGTTATTACATTCATCTAATTGCGCAGTAGCCAATGAATATAAATTTAGTCACCTAATATAACACACACTGCCAGTCTACTAAGTGTACCCAGATAGCCCAATTTTTCCTTAGATATACTGTACGTTATACAGTACAGTAAGATCTTATATTTTGTGCGATTTTATTTTGCGAGCACTACATAATGTAACTAAGTCTTATATTTGGCGTAAAATATCGTAAATTTCGCGAGATCCAGCCAGCTGAATGCTGTCCACCGTCGTGAATGACGTCACAGCTCTCATACCAGTTACAGTCATTTCTGCTACAACGCGTGTTTTGTCAACGCGAATTGGTTGTAACAGGATTGATGAATACGGGAACACTGTTTGTAAAACGCGAACTATTGCATACGAATGTTGGTTATAACACAATTCCATTCTCGGTGTTTTAAGCGTGGCACGGGGTTATGCAATGTTTACAGTTCACGTTCGACATCACATGTTCAATTGATTCGTGTCTTTTGTTTGTCAAGTGTTTTTTTGAGAGGTACTCTGTAAATTTCATTTGTTTTTTCCCTCAAATTTAGCTGTTACCCATAAATATTGTATGAAAAGAATAAGTAAAAAGAATTTTTCGCAGTGAGAACTAATAACGGTTTACACCAGCGCTCTCTGTTTACATCACATGATCAGTTGAATCGCGCAGTTTTTGTCGATTGCACCGTGATTTTCACTGTTTTCTCCAATTTTGTTGTGTAAGCGATGAATATGGAAAGACAGGGTAAGACGAATGTTTCCAAGAAGCGTTCTGATGATCGAATTGCCAGTGGTGAACGTAAAAGGAATTTACAAGAATGCAACTACCTGTATTGCGTTGTAGCCCGAGCTATCCTAGCGACCGCCCGGCTGCTATTGTGTGCATTTTTGGGTGGTGCTACCACCTGTCGAGTCAACATAATGGCCTCTACCTCTACTGGGGGTCCTACTGGTGCTGGTGGGACAGACCCACCTAAGCAGCCAAATAAGAAAAAGGAGAAGGGGGACTATCATAAGGGAGTTAAGTTTGCCAAGTACTCGATGTAGGACAACAGCGCGTGATTAGGTTACTTGAGGAAGGCCTAAAAACTAGTTTCCGGAAAGCACAATCAGGTCAATAAAGGCAGAATTTGTATCATTTGGAGGTTATAAATGGGAAAATCACAGGTTGATATAGAGTGGCCAGTCAATATTGTTATTTTTCCCATTAGTTTATGTATTTGAATTTGTCGCAATTTTTACAGTCTATATTACTCGCGAAATAAAAGATCTTACTGTATATGAAAAACATAATGCAGTAGTAGTATTTTATCATCTTATTATTTATTCATATATGCTAATTAACTTAAGAGCTGAAGTGTTGAAAGTTGGACAGGCATAATGAAGAAGTGGAGGGTGGAGTCAGCTGGCATATCTTAGATAAAAAATGATCTTCGTTTCCTGTTTGAATAACCAAACTCTTTAAATAGTTTATTCATGTTGGCTGCTTTGATTTCCCTGAGGTTTTTTCTTTTGCACATAAACCTATTTGATTTGCTCTCAGCATAAAATTAAAGTAAATTGTCACATTTCTTTTTTAACCTTTTGCATAAATTTTGACGGGTGGCCAAAACTGACTAAATTCAAAGAAATCTGCCAAAGCTGTCATACACATGTTGAATAAGGCTAGCTGACTCAGGCAGCCTGTCAAGTACACACAACTGTTGGGCACCTCTCAGACAAAGCCCGCACTATCTTGAGTGCACATCCTCAGTATATTCTCGTACAATACATACTTTTTGCTTACTTTTACAAGTATCGCTTCAAAAGACCATCACGAGCCTTTTGGGGGTAATAACGGAGGCAGGAAACCTGTAATGAAGCCTAGGGAGAAATAGAAGATCTATTCTACTGCTGATACACTCAAACTTCTTGATCGGAGGGATGCTGGAGGATGATTTTTATCATTTGTGCAAGGACACTGGCGCATATGCCACACAAACCTCCTCTTATAAAAAGGATTGAGCAGTGAATATTAGACAGTTGAAGCTGAACTGATCATTGGTTAGAAATACTGTAAGATGTAACACACCCCCCCCCCCATTCATATTCACAAACATCGTAGAGATAAATTAACTGAGCAATGTAAGAATAAAAAATGTCAATTCTGAATGTTTAACAACCTGAATCAAATGTCACAGTCAAGGAGGATGATAAAAAAATTTTCCCTGTGGACTAAAGTTGAATTCTGCAGCCAATGGGTATAAAACTTTTTCAACAATTCCTTTAATAACTTAGGCTTTTTCCCTTCAACTCGTACCTAATATTTTTTACCAGAGATAAAAATTTTGAGTGGCAACATCAGAGCAATAATACTAGTTAATCATGAAATACTTCAGAGGAGTCCAACATATACAACTAACTATATTTGAAAACAAATTCACAACTTCAAGCACATTTTAAATTAAATGTCAACATTTTTTGCTCCATTTATCACAATTGTTCAACATCACAATCACCAAGAAAGGAGGATAATTAGTGACCCCAAGTCTCATGTTAAATATTCCCTATGGCAATACCAACAAGGTTTATATTAAAATTGAGTACTGTAGTTTTCTTTCAATCAGTGTTATAGGAAATTCTCCTTAACATTTCTAACTTAATTATCAAAAGATGCTTGTGCATGGCCATGCCCATTATCAAGGATGTCTCATATTTGGTATAAAAAAGTATTACATTGGCCCGGTGTGAGGAAGACAACATTTCTCAGCCAGTCAGCGCGCAATCAGCAGAAGCAGTGGCAAACCCACATAAATCCAAACATGAAAAAATTTCCCATGAACAGGCTGCATTGGGCAAGGGGTCTGCATCCAACCACAGAGTGGGGTCTGCATCCAACCATAGAGTGGGGTCTGCATCCAACCATAGAGTAGGGTCTGCATCCAACCATAGAGTGGGGTCTGCATCCAACCACAGAGTAGGGTCTGCATCCAACCATAGAGTGGGGTCTGCATCCAACCATAGAGTAGGGTCTGCATCCAACCAGTTAGTGGATATTTGTGTCACCACCACCAACAGTTATTCCAAAGAAACTATTATTACTTGTGAGTTAACCCATTAAATAATAAAATAACCAAGAAGTAAAATAGCATCATGCTGTTAAGCATATAAGCAAGAGCAAGCACAAGAAGCTAAATTGCACATACTGTACTGCATATTGATAAGATTTTCAACGATGGTATTATTGTACATATACTGTAATTATGTATGAAAAAGTTTACTGCAGCGGTAACTTATATAAAAACCTATTTGGTATGATTTATGTGTTTAGATATGTGCATTACTGGAATTTAATACATGCAGTTTTTGAGAATAAGGAATGTGTAAAGATTTTTTTACTTTATAGATTCATTCAATTACTTTAGTTAAATAATGACAATATAAAGAGAAAGCACACATAAAAGAGTAATTGTCAATCAACATCTACAAATGGAGTTTCAAGTATAACCTTACTTTTGGTGCCTTTATGTGCCAAATGGGTAAAGAGAAGAGAGAAATTAATTTAAACACATGACAAAACTGTTCACTCCCATATACAATTTAAAACTTTCACTGGCAAAAAATTAAAAGATATATATATATATATATATATATATATATATATATATATATATATATATATATATATATATATATATATATATATATATATATATATATATATATATATATATATATATATATATATATATATATATAATCTGAAAATAAAACAGTAGAAAACACTCAATCTAAAGGTATTAATCCCATCATATTGAAAGAATCTCTTAAATTAATAAGTGACTGTATCAAAAAGTTTCAAACTGTGTTTCTAACAATTGTTTAAGTTAAAATATCCATGGTGCTGTAATTGTGCATTAACATAATAATGTTTACGTGAACATTTATCTAAGCATCTATAAAAGTATACACTATGTTTATGTATATATGTACAAACACACACACAATGTATTAGTATATTTATACAATATATGGAAACTTTTTACTGCATACACATTATCATATCATGAGCTCTCAGTATGGGGTAACATTTCACTTCTTGCAACAGAAAAATCTTACAACCATAAGGTATGGCCACCCCCTACATTGTAAACATCCGGGTTATAGAAATTCGCCCATACAGAATACTGTAAGAATATTATAGCCTCCGAATTCAGAATATGGAAAAAAATTAAACCTTATGGATATGAAATGTTTCTCAAAAGATTCATTACAAAAAAAAAAATAAATAAATAAAATAAAACTTTGGGGATTTCATAATGCCTTAGTTTACTAAAAAGCAAAGGTATGCAGTATACCATGCTTATAAGCCTTGTTCACATCTGCGAGAATGAGTTATGTGCGATCCTTTCGTACTCTTGGTTTGGACATTTACGTTAAGTATCTTAATCAAGACTGTTCAGTGTATTGCCCATTTTCAGGATGACATGAAAAGGGCCATCAAGTGCAAATGGAAGGGGTACTAGAGCTAAAACAACCCATAAAGGAATTACACTGGATATAAAACTTGAAGTGTTACACAGGTTTGATGTGGGTAAAAAACTAGGCCATACTGCAAAAATATTAGGGCTTCTTACATCTACAGTGTGTACAATATGTCATAACAAAGGCAAAGTTAAGGCAGATAAACCCAGTTGATGTACAGTAGCTAAAACAACTGTCTGTGCGGGTGGGGGTCGATATGATCCAAAATTTTACGTGTGGCTAGTGACAGCCCTCAAATACCAAAATTATCGTCTATGGTCTCATATTGTTTCCCACAAAATATGCAGATAGTTGTTTTAGGTACTGTACTTTCAAAGTGTGTGTGTGTGGAATGACGACCAGACCTAACATAAACTGATGATAAATACAATGATCCTTTAAGAGAAGGTAAAATGCTATCAATATTGTTTCTGGTAACCTTTTTTGTATTAGAATCAGATTTTATCACAGATTATTAAATTTTCCATGTAATATTTGTTGAAAATGGATTCTTTTCTTGTATAACCATTTTCTATTACTATGTCTTTTGGCCAAAAAAATGTCCATAAGAATACGTCTCTAATTATATACAGTAATGAATTTCAATGGGAAAATGGGTTTTGTATTATGGAGTTTTACCTTATAGAAAATTTTCAAGAATACATCCCTTATATTTTCAAGAATACATCCCTTATGTAATACAGTATGGGGGAAGCCTGTAATTGGATTTCAGAGCATAGTTCTTTTGAAAATATATTACTTCATGTTTACCATACTTTTTATGATAAAAACTTTTGCAAGTGCAAAGAGTTTCCACTAAAGAAAAAGGCTATAAATTATATCTAATTAAAAATTACAAAATTATTTCTGAACATTTCTCCAGAATTCTATCGAACATAATACCGACTGTATGAAAAGTACCAGGGAACCACACAACTATGCAATTCCTTTCATTAAAGACTTAATGGCACAGATGTCAATACAAATATATCCACACTTGAGTATGCTTGAATATTTCATTATGGGGAAAGGGATGTAATGCAGAAAATAATTATTGGACGTTTCATTATTGGCAATGAGAGGGTAATTATTTCAAACAACCCCAACATTTATGTGCATGGTCACAAGGACAGTCTTCCGAGACATTATGAATGCAACATCAAATCTTTCAAAAGTTATTTACAAACTTTTGTCATAATGTGAAGAAAAAATCATGTCTCCATTAATCTCTTGCTCATTGTAATAACTGTGATCCAAATAAAAAGTATAAATTTCAGATGTTGCTAGTCATAAAAAAAAAGGTATCTATAACATCATCTTCAAGTAAAAAAAGTGAACAAATAAAATAAAAATAAATAAAGTTCTGCCCAAGTACAAGAACATCTACTTAATAATATCTAAAGTAAAAATAATTAATAGAAATGTCACCTGTAGCTTTGGTGTACTTGTTGCAGCAGGAGGAACTATGTTCTCTTTGGCACTGTCAGTATCTTCAGCCCTTCGACGCAGAGCTCGTATGCGTGGAGTCAATCCAAAGTGTGGAATACAGAAGAATTTCCCTCCATATCTTCCTTCACGATCATATATGTAATTGCCTGAAATTTGAGGATGTGTTTTGATGTCCTAATTGGTTAAACAATCACATAAGAAAACATGAAAACTGTAGGCTGGTTTTCTATAGCTTCATTTAGGCAAACTTCTCTAAACAAGTTAGGGACCTAAACAAACTGTTGTTAAAGAAAACTGTAGTTACTGATATAAATCCAAAGAAACACAGAAAAAATGTTTGACAATGATACAAAGATCATATGGTAAATTTTCTCAAATATAATACTAGTGACTGTTACCATATTACAAATAAAAGACGTGTCAACATGAGAAAAAAGTTTCAACAAGACTATAAGTGACATTATACTCAAACCAAATTCAGCACTGCAAAATGGGGAATTCACAAGACAGCTCTTTCAGCATTGCATAGGGACGTGAAACTGGATGGCACTAAAACGTGTGAAAAATTCAAAAGGAAAATAACTCTTAAACTTTTAAAATCAACTTCCTTTAATGTAACAAAATAAATCCAATATATGATTACCAAGTCTGAGGTTAGCAGCACAATAGTCACATTTGAAGCACTGACGATGAAAGAACTTTCCTTCTGCACTTAGTCTTTCAACTAAGTATACCCGGTTGCCACAGAAGTGGCACAAGTCAGATCCAGAAGTAGGCAAGGGCACCGTTGGTCTTGAAGGCTGAAATATAACAGCAACTGTTGATATAAATGGAATTTTATTAAGTTCTTATGCTTTTAATTCTTCTTCATGCTCCTTTGACTCTCAGTTGTAGATTCTCCTTTATAGCTATTGGAGAAACCTACAAATTTCAGCCATTGTCACGCAATAGTGCATTTTCTATAAATCATTAAAAAAATCCTGAGCATTCTGTACTCTCAACCAAGTGTAAATTAAAAGTTCAATAACTGGCAACTGGTGAGTGAGTGTCTTGCTGAGAGTCCAAGCAGACACATGAGTGGTCTTTCATTCAAAACTTATCTTTTAATTCCCCAAAACACAGGTTTTAGGTTTCTTGTAAAATGAGACCTTATTGTACCAAATGTTAAAGAGCCCAATAAAAATAAAAATGGTGGGTGAGACTATCCACAACCACAATCTGGGCACTAATGTGGCACTTCTTAACCTTACTAATTTGCCTTTATAGTCCATTCACCTTGTCCTCTGTCTTACATTCTCTTTTACCTTCATCCATGCTGTCACAAACCTCTCAAACCACTCACTTACTTGCCAGATACTACTCAGAATGCCCACATCATATTCATGCACCCAACAGAGCTCTTACACATAAGAGCAGATGAAATAACCGGAGATCCTTAGATGCAAAGTCGAATACCAGTTTCACGCTTCATCAGGGACAACTCCTTCGTGATACCAATCCCAAATTTTGTGGCGCAATTAACTCAATACACAAAACATTTTATACTTCTACTTTCAGTTGTTAATTGTTCCTGAGGAGATTGCTGCATAAAAAGTCTATACAAATATACAAATGTGAATGACATATTTCTCCCATGTGAGCCAAAAAATTATAAGCATGATTCCCCCACCTGTCTCGTGATCAAAACTTTCTCAGGTTCCTTCTTCTCCAGTTTGGAAGACAGTTGAGATGCTAGGTTAGAGACCTTGTTTTGTCCACGCATTCCAGTTTCTAAAGTCGATCCTTCACGCAACTTCATCTCCAACCTCTTTAGAGAGGAGTCAATATCTCTGTATTTGGCAATTGTCTCTTCATTTTCTCCATTTTCTCTGAGTCGTCTTTCAATATTGTGGAACTGAAATAAAATTATAATGCAATAATGGGAGAGTTAAGAAAATACCATCCAAAAGAAACTCAGACAACATGTTACAAGACTGTACCTGTATGTCATGAAACACCTCACATAAGACACAAATTGTAGAAAGTAGTACTCACTTTTTGCCGAGGCTCTTAAATGAATTAACAATACAGTATCTATTGCATTTTCTATTTATTGTGGCTGGTAAATAATGGCTTCTTACTGCTGCATGTGGTGTTGGACCATAAATATCACTATGTTGCCATACAGTAAGTCAACTATTTCCACCTTCTGTGCATGAGTATTGCTTAAGAGAGCCATGTTTGAGTTTCATACTACCTTTGTATTGTATTCTGTGGCTGTACATTGAATAATATTGTTACCGTAGGCACCTATATTTTTTTTGAAAAACTTTATCAGGTTAAATATTAGTTTTCTTAAGAGCCCAATACATCACTTTCCTTATGTACATAATACACCAGTTTCCTTATGAGCCTAATACACCAGTTTCC